CTCCTCCCAGAAAGGAAAGCCCTCCCCGGCGGGACGGGTGCCGCTGCGAGCGAAGAACCGATGCGTGCCCAGCCGGCAGCCCGCGCTCTTCACTCCCAGGGCAGCCCCGGGATCCACGCGAGCCCGGCTCCCTTGTGCGGCCCCGCACCGATCCCCTCGAGCCGCCGGGCCGAGGAACTATCCCCAGGCGAGCATCAGCCCGACGTAAGGCTGATGCGATGCTCCGCGCCGCATATGTTCCCTCTGTGTGCGCTTTAGTGAGAGGAGGTGGGGTTAAACGCCGCGCGTTCGTGACCCAGAAATGGAAACCCCCTGCAATAACAGGCTGCTGCTGCTGCTGCTGCTGCTGCCCGGGAGTGCGGGACGTTTTTTAAATTGATTTTACACGCAGGTGGCTCCAAAATAGCTGCCTTCACCAAGGAGCTCTCACCACGAAGCTGAGGGTTTTAATCATGACTGTCTCTTGTTTTTGGTTTGTTTTTTGTTTTGTTTTTTTCGTTTTGTTTTTTTTTTTCCTTGTGTGGCGATCTTTTCATCATCTAATCAATTTATCCTGAATGTCTTCCACACGAAATATTGAATAGTTGCCTTTGCTAGGTTCTCCTTTTCCCCTCTCTGTCCATGTGTTGGGTGTGAGGGTGCTTCAAATAAAGGAATCTCCAATATAAATCATTCTTCCCTAAAACTGCCGTTTAAAAAGCAAAAGTAAACGAAACAAAACAAGCTACAAATCTTCAGCTACGTGCGTTACTGAGAAGCTGAATTTTTGTTTCACAAATATATATGTATAAACATTATTCATGGATACTTACTACCGGTTTGACATGGGGTTACATCCAAAGTCAGCACTCCTCAAGTCCACCTCCTTCACTGCAAAACATAGCCTAAAAGACCACCATTATTGGGAAAAATAGCAGACAACTGTCACATTACCTAACTTACTGAAGTCGTAACAAAGGCTTCCATGAGAAGTGACATAACAGAAGCTGGAAGGGGTTTTCAATTCCACTTACACTTCTTTTGCAGTTTCCCTCTCCTTCCCCGCAATGTCTCACATTCTCGGCTTGTTCTGTGGAAGCTTGATTAAAGTCAGGAAAGCTGAGTACCACTCATTCATTTCCCGAGGGGGTATTAAACAGAAGAGGGCAGACACGAATGCTTATTGTCAGATCTGTGAGGAGATACAGACTGTTTTCTGTTATTATATGAATACGTAAACATGTAGAAAATCCTGAGAGCATTGGTGACAATGTTTTTGTGTGTATGCAACTAAGGGAAAGTGCTAAAGGAAATGCTGTGCTTTTTTCTATTTTTTATTATTGTGGAGGAGGACCTATAGAATGGAAAGAAGGGCATCATCCTTCACTCATTTTTATGCTATTTACCACACATGGATTGGAATGAGCATGTATTTTGTCAGAAAAGAATCTACACAACTGTTCTGCGTATTTTTATATCCAGTGATGGACTAGTAAGCATATGCAGTGTGTTTGTGATGGGCTTTATTCAGTGGGAAAGCAGGGAACAGATCAGCCAGAACTGACAGATAATTTCATCTCACAAATACGACAAAGTATAATTTTACCTGCAGGTTCTTGGCTGTGCTTTCTTTCATCCCATGTCTGCCTGTCCCTCAGAGCAGCAGCCAGGTCGGGGGCTGAGCTGGAGACATCAGCACACGCAGCAGCACTGCATGTCTGCTTCATGAAATCTTTGTTTTCCTGTTCTGACAGAAACACATGGAGAGGATATGGTAAATAATGTGATCTCCTAGAAGAGAAAGGCTGCAAAGCATTGTCCTGTCTGCTCCTCACAGTGTCCCTTCCCAGGCATGAACTTCCCAACTGGGCCTCCAGGCACACAGACCAGTGTCAGCATCCATCTCCTCCAAGAAACATGGATGGAAAACTGTGTATGGCTCTCAAGAGACTCTGCATCACATTACATGGCCCCACAGCACCCATGTTGCCCTTTTGGGTTCTCCTGCACCTTTGGAGAGAGATACATTGGAAGGTTGGGAAGGACACCTCTTAGCACTGGGAATGCTGAGTGCTGTGCTTCATTGTGGTGGGATGTCCCTTTGTAGGGCAATGAGAGGGAGGCTGAGTGGGGCCGCCCTCTGGGTCTGTGGGGCAGGGAGGGTTTGCTCCTCCATATCTCAGTGCTGATGTGGTTTGCTGCAGTGCTGTGAAATGGGGTCAGGCAATACAAGGTCTGTCCTGCTGAGAAAAGAAGACTGGTAAAAGGGCTGGCAAAGTGCTGCTTTTCCTGCACTTCTGTTCCTGAACTCCTGTTCCTGCAACCCCTATGCAGCTAGGTACAGAGCAAGCAAAGTTGTCCTCTATGCCTGGTGTGCAGCATTGCAGTGATATTTATAACAGCTGTGGTAAGTCTTCTGCGCAGTCCCTACTGTTTATTTCCTGCAACATTGCAGCACACAGAAGCACAAATCACCACCATGAAGTGGCAAATCACAGGTATCGGAGCAGAGTAAGAAAAAGGCAACCAGGCAGGTAGAGGATGGTGAGACAGAGATGCCTGTTTGATGTGAGAAGCAGCAGCATGAGTTCTGCTGCTATTTTTGTGGTTTTAGTGTGTTGAGTGAACCAATGGTGGGCTTCTCTCCGTGCTGTCTCCTGGCTGCTGTGAAAGGTAGGCATGATGCAGCTGTAGGTGGCTGCAATCAAAAGGTGCGTGCTGGTGCTGGCAGTCAGGTTTCCCTCTTTGCAGTTGTGGTGCTGGAACAGTGAAATAAGGGCTTTCCCATTTGCATTTTCACATCCTCAGCAAGCTCTGCATGTCTGGCTGGCTTTTTTGAGAAATGTGTAAAGTCAGAGAGCTTCTATGGAAAGCCTGTGGAGCTTAAGCTTCAGCTTTCCACCATGTCTGCTTACACAGTGAAGGGAGAAGTAAGGGAAATATAGCCAGGGCTGTATGCAAATTCTGCTTCCTTACCTAACTCCTCATCTCACATTCCTGCATTTAAATAATATCTCAATTCCAGATTCTTTCTGACATATCTAGAAACGTATCTAATTGAAGCCCAGAATTTGGAAAGTACTGTCCTTGCACAGACAAATGCACTGCCTTTCTCCACTTGGTAGCTCCTCAAGGCACCTTCAGCACCTCAGCTATATACCAGATACAGAGCAGCTCAGTCTGGCGGGCCCGGGCTTTCAGGGGTAGTAGGTCAGTGTAGGGACAAACACTGAAATTGAATGAATAGGACTATCCCCCAGATACTCAGAAACACATTTATTATATTCCCAATGATTTGCATATTGCAAAAAGTTTCTGTTACATTTCATTGAATGAAGCCATTGCCTGATGAAAGGTGGTGGTGCAGAGATGTTCAGCTGTGGCTCTGCGAACAGCCTCTCAGCTCAGGCTGCAAGAGCTCGGGGAGATGTTTCAAGAGGTAGATGGAGACGGAAGAGAGTACAGAGCATGAGGAGAACCCTGTGGTGCGCAAACAGCCAAGGCAGACTTAATTTTCTGAACAAATAAGTTTCATCAGACCGCACAAAGACAGTCTCCATGTGCTCACGGGTCCTGACAGCTGTTAGCAGCACAGAGGGCCAGCCAAAAGTTCGCCCACCTTGCTGAGGCCTCTGACAGATGTTCTGCCAGCTTCTATGGGCGCAGTGACAGGCTGAGGCTGCTGGTGGACCAGGGAGGCTCTCCCAAGGCTGCTGCCAGCTGCTGTCCATCGGTCTGGTGTCCAGGCATCCTTCCTCCTTGCACTCACCCTCAGCCCTGACGCTGGGGCTTGCAGGAGGGTCGAGTTTATACACAGGCAGACCCGCACACTGGCTGGGTGCAGGAAATAACCCCGCAAACACCTTCCAGGCTCTGAAATCATCGCTCCCTTCCTCTGCGGCCTCCACCACCGTACCCACGCGCAGGTCCAGGCCCAAACACACGCCCCACACCGGCCCGGTGCCGCCGGGTACGTTGGGGGGCCTCCCATCGCTGCCCCGCCGGGCGGAACCCGCGTTCGGGGGAACGCTCCGCAGCACCGCGTGTTGCCGCCCGGCGGCGGCGGAGCGGGCACGGGGCGGCAGCGGCCGCCTCCTTCCTGGTGCCGGCGCGGGGGCGGCGGCGCGGCGGGGCCGGGGCAGCGCAGGGCCCGGGCGCCTCCCACGGCTCCTCATGGCCGGGAACTTCTGGCAGAGCTCGCATTAGTGGGTGCCGCGGCCGAGGGGAGGGAGGGCGGGGAGCTTCGCGGTGCCGCGTTTTGGCCGTTCGTTGCCCGGCTCGGGGATGCGGGGCTGTTGGGGGCCTGCGGGGCGGGCGGGAGCCCGGAGCCGGGCCCGGCTGTTGAGGCGCGGCGGTGGGCCCGGCCTGCGGCTGCGAGTAGCCTCGGCTGGAGGTGAGGATGGCCTGTCTGGGTGGCGGTCAGCGAGGGCGGTGTTGGAGCGGTGGTTGGTGCCAGCCACGGGGCAGCTGGAGACGGCGGGTGGGATATATTTATCTTCAGCTGTGGCACGTTGAGGGCTGGGCTGCGTGGAGTACCGCATTCTGAGTACGTTGGGCTCTAAATGGATGGCTGGGGTGGGCTAAATATAGCATAAAGCTTTCAAGTAATTATCAGAGCACAACTTCTCTGCAGTCGTTTTGATTCTCTACAGCTATAGGCTGATCTCAGTCCGTGCTGGTGTTTTTGCAGATGCCTAACTTGTAAAACCTTAGGGATTATTTGCTTGAGGAGTTTGCCCATGGCTTGGCTAAAGATCACTAGGCCTTAGCCCCCAGCTGTAGTCTGTTAGTGTGGGAGGCAGTGTAGCATCGATAAAGAGTTACTGAAGTTATTTTCCTTCCCTTCAGTTTACAATGGATTTTGGATAAACAAGATCTACTGAAGGAACGCCAAAAAGACTTGAAATTTCTCACTGAAGAAGAATATTGGAAGCTACAGATATTTTTTACTAATGGTAAAATTGGTTTACTTTTATTTGTGCCATCTTATTGTATAGTATCTGCTGTGTCGAGATGTAAGTGGCTCAGAGGATGTGGTTTTCTTTACTACATTGCATATAGTTTCACAATGTGTTTTAACAAAGAGTTGGAATGCCTACAACATTTATTGTTCATTTAACTGTGTTAGCTCAGGAGGAATTACATATAACCTGGCTGCATATGTAATATGTTAACCTGTGGTAGGGCAAAACATAGTACAGTTCTGATTTTCAGGACATTCTATAAAAAAACCCAAAAAACTAAGAGAAGCAAGGAGAAGCTGGTAAGCTAGCATATTAAAGGTTATTGATGACAGTAAATGTCGAGCTGTGATCTTCTGAGGGATTATGTGGTAAGTATTTTAGCCAATGTGTGCAGTCCTGTTAAAAAGCAAAGCTCGGAATCTTGTTGTGTTCAGTTACACTCTTTGAAACCTGCACAGTTGCCCATGTCTGGGCCCATGTGGCTGATTCCCCAGCAGTGGGTGGCTCTCAAATTGCGCAGTGTTGTCTGCAGCCTGTTCTCCTAAAGAGTTTGAGACTTGTCTATGAAGTTATCTAAGACATGGTCCTGCAAAGCATTTAACCCTGTGAATAGCTGCATTGTAGTTTATCAGGTTACACAGACGCTTAAACTCTTTCCTATGCAATTGTCTGACTTATAAGAAAGAAAAAAATCTCCTTAGGAGAAGGATATTGCAAAGCACTAGTTTGCTTGCAAACAGCTGTTTGAACACTTTTCATAGCTGTACATAGGAAGTGCAGAACGCTTATCTTTTCAGCTATCTAAAAGAAAAGTTAAATGACTTCACCAAAGCTACTGGAAGAACTTACCTATATACTGAACTGTAACTGTGAAGGACACTTAGCCCACCTTCTTTCTTAGGTTAATGGTTTCTGTAATAATTGAGTATGCTCCAAATCTGATTTCTGTTGATATATTTTCATTATTGCTTATATAGCATCAGAAAGTCAAGCAAACAGTGATTTATCAGTTTGATCAATACCTGATGTTCCTTGAGGTTAAAACAGTTTCATAGCTTCCCAATGCAAAAAGAAGAAATAGGATACTCATATTTTTAAAACTGTATTTGTGTTAATTTTCACTATCATTAATTATGGAATGTGCCCTTTTTTATGTTCCACTTCAGTGATTTTCCTGAGTAAACTCTTACAAACTGCATAGGTCACTCTGAAAGTGATACCTCCTATTTATTTCCATGGAAACTACAACAGATACCAAGAGCACAATAACCCTATTTGATAGAGCAAATTCTCAGCTACAAAACATTGTTTTTCAACAGTCACCACTATTAGCTATGCATTTTCACCAGTGATCAACTAAAGCTGGATTATCACATTTGTAAAAATCTGCACCAGCAGAGATGACCCACTGTTTCACAGCTGCTATGATGGCATTGTTGCTAGGGAAAATGTTGCCCATGCAGTCCATCTTTCATCCATTTGAACAGGTGGAAATCAGAAGCTACGAAATCCAGACTATACAGTGACTGTTGTAGGTTAGTCCAGTCAAGACTGGCAGTGTGCTCCATAAAACTGGTATGGGACCTAACGTTATCATGTTGCAAGAAAAGAATTGATTTCTTTGTCCTGACTACAGAGGTTTAAGCCTTCAGCTTAGTTAGCATCACAACACAGCAGTCAAAGGTGATGGTTTCTTCAGGTTCCAGGAAATCCATGAGGATCACCCCTTTCATATCCCAAAAGACAGTGCGCATCTCTTTACCCACTGGCACTGCATCTTGAACTTTGATGGGGAATCATATGTTACTGCATGGGAACTGAGTCATGGCCTGAACCGCTGATTGAGCACCTGGGGAAAGGACTGGTCAGCCCTGGGAGCACAGGTGAAGGCAATTCAGCTGTGCTACCGGAAGGGGTGGAGCCTGGCTGCACCTCTCTTAGACCTCATTTAAGGGCTGACTGCTACTGTGGAAGGACTTCTGGGTGGAGATTCCTCCCTTGTGGTGTTTCCCTTGTGAGCCTAGATCTTCAGAGATAGGTGAGCACTTTTCCTTTTTCTCTGTAACGCCTTTTCATCATATTGATCTTTTTGATTGTTACGGTCACCGCTCCATGGCCTTCCATGTTGACTGTGGCTTGTAGCGGTGACACCGCATCTTGTCACCAGTAATGGTGCAGTCCAGGAAATGGTCACCCTCAGCCTCATATTGATTCAGTGGGTCCTAACAAACTTGCATAATGTGCTCTTTCTGCTCTTGTGTGAGAACATTCGTGGTATCTACCTGGTACAAATTTTGTGATATTGCACCATTGCTTCCAGTGCCTTGAAGCCAATATTCAGCTTTGCACACCATTCCCTCTTTGTAATCTGTCAGTTAATGCAGGTGTGCTGATAGAGATGCTTTTCATTTTGTGGTATGACAGCTATACAAGGCTGTCTGGAACGTGGCTGGTTGTAGAATCATAGAATGGCTTTGGTTGGAAGGGACTTCAGATATCATCTAGTTCCCAACCCCCTGCTGTGGGTAGGGCTACCAGCTGCTAGATCAAGTGGTAGATCCTACATGTCACTGCTGAAATGCACCAGCCACTGCCACGCTTTGCTCGCATCCACTCCATAAATGTTCAGCAAGCATCAGTGAATGTCATTGGGTGCCATTTTTTCTTCACGGAGGAATTCAGTTCCACACCTTTGCTTCATACGCACTTCCACGTCAGATGCCATTGTGTCAGAGTGCCCCTCTGCTGCCATCTGTCACATGGCAACAGAATGTAACAGAATATTTTTGGGAAGATTTAACCTCTGGTATGATGTCGCTAGTATCTACCTTAGATATCACAGGCCAACATAGTAAAATAGGAGAAGCAGCCCTCATAGATAAGCTAAATCGTTTGTGGTTGTCTTTTTCCTTGGTTCTCCGTGCCTTTTCTAAAGGAAGGTTCCTGACCCATGGTAGCTGGAAGAAGACTGCCTGCCCTGAGCATGTGTGCATGTATGAACATGGCATGCCCTGGAGGGGATGGTGTTGCTAGACTGTCACATCTTCTGTGGTCTAGAGGGATACTTTCATGGAGAGGACAGTCTGGGGTTGTACTGTGCTGATGGTAACTCATACAGCAGTTGCCATATTTGAGCCCTCAGTGTGTGTTGTGTTTTTTTACCTGCCTCTGAATTAGGGACCCTATTTTAGATATATTGAGCCTTTTACCTGTTCTGCATTATCTTGATATGGCTGTGACATGTTGATTCTGCTTAAGGAGGTGGTTGTTTCCCAAAGTAACCTGAAAATTACCTGAAGGGATAATTTCCTGCTGCCTCCCCATTTGAAAACAGTTGCTGTAGATCAGTAACTGATTGTGTGGCCATAAGAGCTATAGAGAGGGAAAATTATTATCTTCTAAGCCAATTCAAACATGAGAAATTAACGTTGACTTCTTTCTTTGGATCATAGAGTTTTAATCGAGTTTTTGGATGAAAAGCCTATTAAAAGATTTCTCTTTCTGGTTTGGTGCAGAAGCTGTAATGTTTGCATTATGGGCTACTCAAGACTTCTGAATTGAAACCAACATTTTTTACTTAAAAACCAAACAAATAAAAACCCTGAAACTACTTATTTGGTAAACATGAGGGAATAAATAATAATCCGATAGCTTCCTTTTTTTTTTTTTTTTTTCCAAAAATTTATTACAAGTACTGGAATTTTTCCTGGCATATAGAAGCTTCCATTTCATTTAATCTCTCTAGGCTTTTGTCCATTTTTTTTCCCCTAAGCCTCACTTGATTTTTCTCTGACAGCAGATGGCCTAACTGCTCCTGAAAAATCCCATGGGAACAAGAAACATATTTGGAGAATTCTGTTTAGCTTAATGTTTGGATTATTCTGATGCCCTAGTAGTAGGACAGCTTTGTAGCCCCGTGGTCAAATCAAAGTGAAAAATCCTTTAAGACCTCCCAGGATACACTGATAAGTATTTTAATATTTGTACAGGCATTCCATAGTGGACTTAACCTCCTTTCTGCAGTGTTGCTTGCGAGTCCTACTGTTGGTGGCAAGCTAGTCTGAATTAGGCATCCTTTATTTTTAGGAGAAGACTGATATGACAATGAAAGAACTTAAGTGGCTTTGGGTAATTGTGGTGGGTAACTAATTAATTTTTGTGCTTAAAAAACCAACCAAACAAACCCAAACTATGTTGCCAATAGTCAGTGTTGGTCAGGGTGGTTCTTCTCCTACACTGGTCCATTTTCTAGCCAACAATGCTCTTGGTATTTACATGTTTTAAATTGCTGCAGTGCTCATTAAATGAGAGCGCAGTGCGAGCTTGGATATTCCCAAGGAGGAAACAATGTTGGGGAAAAAAGGACTTTTAAAAGTTTTTGTATGCTTAACGGGAGACTAATTGTAGTGTTTATTGACAATGGAATTGTTGCTTTTTCCATCAGTGGTTGCTTCCTGGATAGATGCTTGCACATACACTTGTATATTACTTAAGTGTATATTCAATGATTTTTATTTTTTTTTTGGACGTTTCTGGTGAGGGAGGAAAACAAGAGTCTTCACACAGCCAAGCCTTTCTCAGAGTAATGGCTGTGGAAAAAAATATGGGAAGAATAACAAGTAACAACCTTGTGTTTGTCTGTGTTTCTCTCTGTCGTTTTCTATATCCAGTCCCAGCTCTTAATCCCAGCTTGATGCATCTAATTTGCTTGGCACCTTTCCTTTGCCTGGGAGGCCAAACAAGAGCTACCTGCACAGATGACACCAGGATTGTTTCTTGGCCAACTGGCAGAGGACTACTATGATGGAGCAGCTGACTGCATCCTCTGGTCTCCCACCCCCTCTCCCTAGACTAAATATGTCATTTCTTTAACACCTGCTGCCTCTGCCAAATTTAATGACCATGTTTGTGTTGGCAGCTTTAGTTGTTTGAAAAGCACATCCATTTTGCATGGCCCTGAAAAGCCACAGACTTACATTTCAAGTATTTTGATTTCTTTTGCTATGAAATGGAATATTCAATATTTTACCCTTTTAGATTCGCATTGCCGTCTACTTAAAATTCATGGACTTTGTATACGATGAAGTTGAGTCACTTTTCCTTTTTTAATGGTGTCCACAAGCTTCATGATGTGGTAGTTCTTCTTCACCTGCAGGTCTGTAGGTTTGCAGCTACATACTGTTTCACCTGAGCAGTGTGTGAGGACGCAAGGAGAAGGCTGTGTTACTGCTCCTTAGAATCCTCAGTACTAGCCGTGTTCTGAAATCCTTTGCTGTTTGGTGTCAAATTTTTTATAGAAACACAACTCAAGCTTTTTTTTTCTTTTAAGTTATCCAGGCTTTAGGTGAACATCTTAAATTAAGACAGCAAGTTATTGCCACTGCTACAGTCTACTTCAAGAGATTCTATGCCAGGTAGGACTGTTTATTATGATGGTACAGGAATAAAACGTGTCAGGCACATTTTGGTAGCCCTTTTAAATTTAGTATTAAAAAATAGTGCCACTTTTGTTTTCTGGATGGTGTAAAGCTTTTATGCTAGTAAAAGTTAACTTAAGATTTCAAAAGGAAGTGTGGTGCTCTTAATAGATTAATCATTCTACATGTGTGAAACAACATATTATAATTTTGTTGTAACATTTCAGATATTCCCTAAAAAGTATAGATCCAGTATTAATGGCTCCTACGTGTGTGTTTTTGGCATCCAAAGTAGAGGTATGAAGTATTACAATTTTTTAATGTGAAATTATGTGATGTATGAAAGTGAAAAAACATTCAGGACTTGCAAAATTTTTTGTCATTCTTCATGCTGTGGGGGTTAGACCTTCTGGGTATTTTTTTTGTGTGGATTTCTATTGCAATTTAAGAAAAGGAGACAAAAGGCCTTCAAACATTTTATTTAATATTTGATCTTTCACGTTTTTGTCTGAATTACTAACCCTGAAGAGCCTCTGGAAATTGGAAAGATTACTTTAAATGTGTGTTTTGCTATCAGTGCTTACGTATTTATGTACAGTGTATCTTAAATTGTGCAGTTTTTGCTTGAGTCTCCTTTCTCCTGTGCTTTTCCTTCTTGTGCTTATTCAAATTTTAAAACAAATTTGATTTTTCTTTTCTAATTATCTTTTTCCTTTTCTTATAGTGAGGGATCTTCAGAGTTTACCACACTTTATTACTTGAATGAAAAGCATGTTGTAGCTCACGTGCTGTGTTTGAGAAAGATCAGATCCATTAGGGATAGTGGTGAGAAGGCCTGAGTCCTCCACCAGTGGAGGTGAAGGTCCACTTTGAGGGTGGCTATAAGTTAGCATCAGCTAGGCCCTGTTCCTAGTTTTCTAAGAAATGGGAGAAGCTTTTTAGCAGTTTGAGGAGGTTCTGCATAATGGAAAAAAAAAAAAAAATCATATTGGCAAATCTGTGCTATGTTAGCAGTTATGATTTTAGAGGAGGAACCCAAATACCTAGAAGCGGTCCTACTGAACTGATGTTTATGTGTGGTGCTGTTATCTGTACAAAAGCTCTGATAGCTTTCAGTGTTTGAAAGAGATAAAGGAAAGGAGAAAGACACAGAACATGGAGAGAGTATTTTTTTTTTTTTTATCATCTTGTTGATTAAGCCTTTGATGAAGTCTACTCGTGTAAGGAAAATATGTCCACTTACACTCTGTGTTACAGCAGCTATTAGGAGGCATTGCAGCCTTCCTGATGCTAAGGCTTCTGCATCTTCAGAAGGCAGATGTAGCAGTAATGATTCTTGTATGTGCATCTCCAAAAGGAAAATTTCTAAGTAGAAATTTTTGATTTGCTGTCTGCCTCAGTGGAGAACCTAAGGCTTCATGGAAACATATTTAGAAAAGTTAGTTAATGACACCCTTATAAACATGATTTTCTTTCCAATTAGTCTAAAACCAGCACACCTTATTGAAGCTCTTTTGATTGTTTTATGTGTAGATTATTAGCAAACTAATCTTCAGGTATTGTGGCTGTAGTACTTTTCATATACCTTTACTATTCTTCATAACTGAAAGGACAAAGTAATAAATGGAAAAAACTTTTTTACCTAGATCATGTAATTTACTGTTTACTTTAATTAAAAAAAAAAAAAAGGGGTGGGGAAAAATGAAATACAGCATAAAGAAGCCCAATTTAGTAAGAGGCGGTTTTAATTCAATAATTTATTTAATATTTAATTTAATATTTAATTTAATAACTATTCAATTTATTTAAATTTAATTTAATAATAATAGTGGGGTAAGCGGTATTTCTGGTGGTTCACCTCATTTAACCTTCTTTTTCTTCAGGAGTTTGGTGTTGTTTCAAATACAAGGTTGATTTCTGCTGCTACTTCTGTGTGTAAGTATTAGTGATTCTCATTCCACCATAGTTAGGTATCTCTGTAGAGAGATTGGACTTTTTTTAATGATAACTATTTTTATTAAGTCATAGGTGGTTACACATTGGCTGCTCGAAGCCAGTTAAATCCATTTAGTATAAGTAACTTTTTTTTAAATATGGAAACAAAAGACTCTATCCTTTATTAGTTCTTGTTGATTCTGAATGGAGCTTGTAAGAAGCAAAGATAAAAATTAAATACCAAGGCCTATAAAACTAGAGTAGTGAACAGGCTTCTGAGCTACTCAAAGATAGAACTGGGAACCTAGGTATTTATTTGCGTATTTTACCAGGTATGTTTCCATGAAAGTACCTCTTTGTGGAAGTTTTGGTAGGCTTCATGCCTCCTGAGCTTTTTAATCCATTTTTTCCCCTGCCATAAAACTGAATTTCACACAATATTTACTTCTAAATATATTTTATAACCTACATATTGTTCGCAAATAAAGATGCAACAAAATCACACTGTAGTTACTTTATTTTCTCTCTTTCCCACTTTATATTTCCCATTTCCTGTAAATTTCGTGTCGACCACTGAGGTCTTAAAGCAATGGCTTCCTTAACTAAATGCTGTAATTTGACCCAGAAGGTCCAGCTGCTCTCAAAAGGCTATTCCTCATTATGCTCTTCAAAATGTAGGTCAGTGCTTTCAAAATAGCTCTTAGCTGCTGAGGGGACAGGTGACCAGCTGCATCTGTAGCCTCCACATGCAGTAACTATATCAATCCATGGGGCTGGCTGTATGACAATTCTACCACCAGAAACTGAAACGTGTCTTCAGTGCCAGCCTGACCAAGACCAGTACTAGGTTTAGCAAAGTGTTGCTATTTTTATAGCAGAAGCATCTCCAAGCACAGATCTGTGTGGCTGTTTTGACGCATGAATGAGAAACTTAGATGGATTTTAGTTGATTCTGCTTAGTCGTCTACTGTTGAGCTGTGTTGTTTCTGAAAATTCCAGGGCTCGGAGTCTTGTAGAAGTTGATTCTCATGGTTTTTCCTTCAGACCTAGGATTCCTGTGTGTCCTGATGGGCACTTGGCATTTCGTGGAAGTGGGAACAAATAAGCAACAGGCTTTTTCCATGCATTTTTGTGCTTATATTCTACCTACTTTTCCTGTAGTACAGTTGCTTCATCAGTACAGATCCTTTTTTTTTTTTTTTTTTTTTTTTTTTTTTTTAACAGAAAAGGAGTAAAAAGATGAGAATAGTCAAAGGAAGTCTAGCAAAAGAGAAAACAGCATAGTTGAGGTTGACTTGCTTTTTGTTAGGTAAAAACATTGGAACTTGTAGCACAGGCTTCCTTTGTAAGGAAGATATCTCGGATTTCTTGCAAGCTCTTCAAAATCTTTTCCCTGTGTTTATACAGCTGACTGAAAGGACAATTTCACATGGTTCCATCTCCAGCTTGCTGTATGGGGGAAAAAAATGGAAACAAAGTAGTTTATTTTTCCCTATTTATCTCTTTAACTTGCATGCTACTTGAGATGTCTGTTTTATTCATTCTTCTGTTATCTTGAAATAATGAAAATTTCCAAGCAGTGGACTAGTCTTACTGCCCTACAGCAGTTTTTCTAGTAAAGTCCACAACAGATCTACACGTTGAAGTTTTCCATCCAGAAGACTGATGTTATCTTCCAAAGTGAGTGGCATATGGATTCCCTGGAAGTAGCATCAATTTGTAGTTCACTGTCTGTCACTAACATAAGCAGTACTGTCCATTTCCAGGATGCTAAATGTTACTTGATTTCTATGAAGGCTGAGGACTTAAAATCTTTTTTAAGATTCACTTGCTGAAATCTCAAATCTACATCTTCAAGAGTACTTAATTTTCTTTGCTCGGTAATCTGATTTTTACGCTGTTTTTGCCACTTAACATAATTCTTAATAGTGCACTGAATACCTATTCTTGTAAAATGTATGAGGCTACTGAAGTATCTAAATGATCTAAATTGGGGATCGTCATAAGCTAGAACACTGAGGATATAGATGTTATTTGGGCATTGTCTTGAAGGCAAGAGCTTCTTGAATTGTCATATGCCTAAACAGCTGCTTTTGAGTGGGGAAAAACTCAAGGAGAAAAACACACTTGAAAAGTGGTAGTCCAGTGCCTAAGGCATTTATCTGCAGCATGTTTAATTGGCTTTTTGATTTGAATTTGAGCCTGTTTTTTGCCTATGAACATCTTTCTACCGGGTGCTTACAAGATCTCTCTCGGCTGGGTTCTTCTCCTTCCTTCCCCACACCTAGCCTTACTTTCCTAAGACTTTGTCACGTGCTTTACGATCTTGCTTATTGAAGGATCAAAAAGATTGCAAAGGAAAATTCCATTTGAATTTAGTCTTGGAGGTGAGATCCTAAAATGGTCTCTAGATTGCAGTGACATCGGTGGGCAGGCAGCCCTGTGTGCGTGGTTACTTGCAGGAAGTTAGTGAACTCAGACATCTAGTAGTGGTAGACTAGAAGGTTTAATTGTGCCCAAAACATCAGACAAATGTCTGGCTGAGTAACTGTGAAAACATGGGTTTGAGACCTATTTCTCTTGCCCTGTCAGAACCTTAAGTCTTACGATTTAATTTTTCTCTTTCAAAACCATGTTTTTATATTGAAAGCAGTTGTGCTTCCAGGTGGATTTGAAGGGCTCTATGCAGGTGGATTAATAGAATGTGAAAGAAGTTAAAGTGCATCATTTTTAACATGTTTTGTCTTTACTGTAGTGAAAACTAGGTTTTCATATGCCTTCCCGAAGGAGTTTCCTTATAGGATGAACCATGTAAGTATGCTGTACAAACTATAACTTGATCAAAATGAATGAAAAGACCAGTAATTCTTAGGAGGAACTCCTCTCCTTTTAAATTCTGAGAAGGAAATATTTTCACGCTAATATATGGAGTTGCTTGTATTTAATTTTGGATAGATTATCGAGAAAGATATTGTAATAAATTCTGTATAACTTCCTTTCTCGAAGCTGCTGAAAGGAATGCCATAAAGTGAGTGTTTAAAATACCGATGTTATACAGTGTGATGATAAAAGAGATTTGGCTTTGCCTCCCCAAAATATTCTTGTTTACAAGGACGTTGCTCCAGGGAAGATAAATAGTCCTGGCACCTGAGATGCTTCCAAGTTTATATGCAGCAACAGTTGGCTTACAGGAAGCTGTTTTGTTTTTGCCTATAAAATGTAATGTTTTTTGAAAAATAACTTTTTATCTATTATTCAAAATTTAGATTTACTAGTGGGTTTTGAGACATCTTCAGTCTCAGTCTAATAAATTCTATATGGTTTTCTTGAAACCAGTATTGATTTATGCTGTAGTGTTTAGGAGGAAAATACTTGTAATTTTTCTTCAGATTGTGGTAAATGCTACCTGTTTGTGATTTTGCCTTTCATCCTATTTAGAAAGCCAAATAATGTATCAGGATATAAAGCATTTAAACTGCTTCAGTAAAACCACACTGCTTTTTTACAGATAAAGGCAAATGGAAATATGTTTTGGGATACTGCTTATCCATAGCAAAAACAGTCCAGTCTTTTGCTCACTGTCACTCTCTCTTCACTGCCTCCATGGAAAAGGACTTTTTTTTTTTAATTGCTACAATTGGACAGAATATTTCATATGAAATTAAATATGAAAATATATGAAAGGGCCGTTTGGCATGTTAGTAGCCTGCTGAAGAAACTCCAGTTCTACAACAGGATTTCTTGTATTGCTGTTAAGTATAAACTGTGAACAAATTTCTGCTGTCAGGTGTCAAAGCAAGTCAGACAACTACAGTCCTTCACAGTAAACCAGATATGAAACATTCAAATGGATTGTTATGACTGGGATTCAGTTGTAATGACAATGCATAATCATAATTCCATTTTGTTTGCTTTTGTATATCCAACACTCCTGAATGCATTTCATATAAAACTACAGGTGCTGAGAATTCCTGTGTATTCATAATGTTAAGCTAGATGCCAGTTCTTTCTACTGTCTGAAACATGCTGCAGTTTAATTGTGATTTTACTTCTTTGCAGATACTAGAATGTGAATTCTATCTCTTAGAATTAATGGTAGGTGAGTTTATTTGTTTTCACTGACACCTTGGTTTACTCTTTATTTAAAATGCTTTTAATTTTTTACTATGGAATGTGCATGATGCTGTTGTCATCTTTTTTTCTTCCTCCTGCTCTAATTTTAGAATGGTGCTCATGCAAGTCTAACATTTATAGCATTCTGATGAAAATTACTCAACAGAAAAAATGCATATTGTAGTAGTGGAGATAGGAGTATGTATTGCTCACTTTTGGGAAGAGTAAAACATAAATTCTGTTTCCAGAACTGCTTTTTATATAACTGAGGTAGTTGTATATTATGAAGTCCTGGAACAGAGACCAGGGTGTTGGTGTATTTGCCTAGATGAATGGCAAGTCAGGAGCATAGAGTTGTATTCCTACTGTGCCCTCTTGCTCGGGGGGAAAAAAAAAGTTATGCAGGAGTCCAGCTTCAGCACAAGGTGTGGGCAGCTACCACTCAGACTGGTCTATAACTTGGTAATCAGAGTAACCTGCTAGCAAGTCAGATGCGGGTTTGAGTGCTGTGAGCAAGGAACTGAATGTAGGTCCTCGTGCTTTCTGAGGTGGTGCTGAACCTACTAGAGCAGTGTGTGAAAGGAGTACAACATTACATTTTCTTGCAGACACTTTAAAGGAAATCAGCTATAGCTGCTTTTAATAAGGGTTACTGTCCCACTGCTCTGTTTTATGGGAAAGCTCAAAGGATACGGCCCAGACTTACAGGGCTCAGGTAAAGTAGCACCAAGTTTCCACAGCTGGATTTGAATGCAGCTTTTCCCTGTAACGCGCATGCAGTTGGCTGCTCTCAGTCAGGGTTATTCCTTCTTGCATACACCAACGTGGGCCTGGAAAGGAGGAATTCAAAGACCTGGAAAATTTTTTTCTGCTTTCCAAACTAGTGTCAATTATTTTGGCATGCTTTCCATGTATGGTATTTAGCGACAGACTGCTTTCTGGCAGTGTTTTGTATTTCCAAGTGGGAATTACGGGTTTGTAAGCAAATGAGGTTTCACTGTGTTGCAGATGTGGCTTTCTGCGTCTCTTGGGGAAAAGACATTGACAGACTGGCATCCATGCTGTATAATGGTATTCTAGAGAGAACAGTGCCCTCATTATGGTAGGGTTAGGTGTCATAATGCTGCTTTAAAAGTACAGTAATTGATTTGTAAATCAAGTGTTTTTAACAAGAACTGACAACGCATTCTGCATTGTAATTTGAGTTTTATCTTGACATTTTTCCTAGGACTGCTGTTTGATAGTGTATCATCCTTATAGACCTTTGCTCCAATATGTGCAAGATATGGGCCAAGAAGACATGCTGCTACCTCTTGCTTGGTAATGAAGACAGCGGTTGATTTTAGCGTTTCCTTTCAGAAAGAAAGCGAGTGTTTAACAGTTATGCCTCAGAGATGGCTTAGCAGGCTAAATAATACAAGGGGTATACAAGTTAACCTATGCATGTATATGTCACTGGCTTAAATTACTGTTTTTAACCCTGTAATGCTTTTTACTTTGAAATGCTCTAGTTTTCATTTTTAGAACAGCTCCAATAGCACAGTTTTTTACACTGTTACATGGTGACTTTGTATAGATATTAGCTATTTTTCTGTTAACGTCATCTTTTGGTAAAAGCAGGATGCAGTTTTGTTTCTTAAATTTGGTTAAACAGAACTCCTTAAACATCTTAATTGTTTCTCAAATACAGACAATAAAAATACTACCTTTATTTTTGCCCTAATTTGCTTATTTATGGAACAGGGATAACTATTTTATGATGGAGGTGAACACACTGAAGAATTACATTGATGGTGTTACAATATAGTGTTTCCAAACAGACTTCTGCTGTGACTTCAAAGAAAACAATGGATGTCTTTAATAGGCTTTTACTGAGGGAGAGATATTAGTTTCTCTGTTTTGCCTTGCAGACTCCTACCATTTGATTAACTGATACCATTTGGGTAACTGATAAAATGTTTATAAACTGGCAGCAGTTTATGTAGTCTAAAAGAGCTCTCTTTGTTTCACACAGGAGGATAGTGAATGACACATATAGAACTGATCTTTGTCTGCTGTACCCTCCTTTCATGATAGCTCTAGGTAAGTAACAAAAGTAATGTCTCTGTCACCTTTAAAAAGATGCCTTCTGTACTTTGTCCCATCAACAAGCATTCCTTAAAACGCTCTCATAAGCTTCTCCAGTTTGTATTTCATACAGTACTAACAGCATAACTTTGCAACTTAGAAAGTCTTGAAGAAAAATCACATTTAACTGTTGAATACCGGCTGAGATTGTTTGCAGAGGGAGTGAAGAACTCTGAACTCTATAGAAATTTGCCTGACTGACAAAAATAGTGTTTCTAAATGTATGAAGAGTGAATAATTGAGTGTCTCCATCACCTGATATTTGCAGCTTGCCTACACGTGGCCTGCGTTGTCCAGCAGAAGGATGCAAGGCAGTGGTTTGCTGAGCTATCTGTTGATATGGAAAAGGTACTCTCGTTTTACCTCCTGCCTTTGCTACGGACTGACTAGAAATGTTAGCCATGGTTAAAACCTGTTTTGCATGTGTAAGATACTGATTTGAACTTCATTCAGCAATTGCATTATAGACTACTGAAATTAGGGAGGAGGGGAAATGTCAGGACATTTGGGTATCACCCTGCACTGAAAGACAAGACTGAACCTCTGCATAAGGGCAGAGCATTGCTGCTGTTGCCATTTCACAGACTGAAATAGAAAACAAATATCTTGTGGTTTTTTTTTTTTTTTTTCCAGAAGAAAAAGAATTCCCAATATTTATCGTTCAAGATTGAACTATATTATCATTTTTAAATTTTAATGCACATAATTTTCTGATTTGCCTTTCAGCATTGTGCCTATGAATTGTCTTTTTCTTCCTTTCATTGTATGTATAAAACATTGATGCTTTCAGGATGACGGGGGCTGTGACTTTATTCAGTGTTAAGCAAGGGTGTTCCAAGATGCTGCAGATGAGTTCCCTGACCCTGCAAGATGCATGTCAAATAATCCACTACATACATTTATCAGATTTTAAAGTGCAGTTTTCTCATACCAATAATGTTCCTTAACTACTTCCTTTTAAGTCTTTAGTTGACTTTCTGAATGCATACATCTGTAACCGACGTTTTGCTCCTGCAAGAAAGTCATACTCAATATATGCTCTTTCTCATTCCCCTTATCACACTGTGTCACTCTGCACATATTTTTCAGTCTAAGTTTACCTTTTTTGATCCTGAGTGTTCAAAATGGAATGGCAAATGTAAGAGAAGGTTTATGATTTTTCTCTCTGCCCTTGATTGCCCTTCATCTCGCTGGTGATATCCCTGCTTTGGATTTGTATTCCAGAGTTTGCCATGTATTTAAGCACAGTATGAATGCTATGATGAATCAAATCTCTGAGCTACACTGTCAGGCATGCAAAAGCAGATTGGCAGCACAGGAGAAACAATCCGTGTTTGACATGTAATGTTATCATAAGCTTGATCTTGAACATGTTTCAGTGTTTAAATGTCTCTGTTCTCATACCAGTGACTACAATCTAAGCTTGAACTTTATTATTTTTATATTATTATTATTAACACCATGGACCTCCTAGCCAAATGTAACTACTGTTTCAGGGATATATATTGTTCTAGCATTTGATCAAAATCCATAAACTGGGAAGAAGTCCACTTCATTAATTTAGTAAGTAGTGAAACAAATAATGAAGCAAACATGGTTTGTTTTTTGTTTTTTTTTTTTTGTTTTTTTTTTTTTTTGGGTGGTCCTGTATGAAGCTGGAGTTAAACTAGATCCTTGTGGGTCCCTTCCAACTGAGGTTATTCTGTGTTTATCCACCTTCTATGTAAAATATTGCACTAGAAAATTAACAGGAAATTAATATGGCCTCCAAATTGGTAGAGAATATTTATACTTCTGGAAATTGAATTTGAAAATTCAACAATTTTTATTATAAAGTATTGAGACACTTCTTAGCTCTTTATTTACTTATTTATCTATTTATTTATTTATTAATTTTTGGAAGTAAAGAATTCAGAGCAGTGTTGGTTTCATTTGTTTTTAACAATGTGCCCCTGGTCGGTATAGAACACAGACAGTAATCACTTCATTTGTAATCTGTGATCATTCAGCTACAGACATGTTGCCAAGTGTCCTTGTTTTCCCAGCAGTATAAAGCATAAGCAGCCCTTTGGCTTTAGGAGCAGAAATGGTTGATACACTGGGAAGGAAATGGAGTGGGAGAGAGAGAACGGTTCTGTTCAGGCTTCAGTTCAACAGTTAAACCAAAAAGCTCTTTACAGAAATGGTTGGTTGCCAGACCAGATAATAGCAGAGGCAGCTCTGTTTCTAACGTGAAAATTGTGCTTCTTAATTTGAGGAATGGTTAATTAACTGTACGCTGCAAATGATGACATAAATACCAAAGTCACTATTGTGATTGACCTAAAATCTTGTTTCTTTCAAATCAGATTTTAGAAATAATCAGGGTTATTCTGAAGCTGTACGAGCAGTGGAAGAACTTTGATGAGAGGAAGGAGATGGCTACTATTCTTAGCAAAATGCCTAAACCAAAACCACCTCCAAACAGGTACTGTACCTCCATTACTTACTGCACCTTTCATATGGAAAAAATAAAATACTCTTAGGTATGATGATATGTTTGAGGCATAGTGAATGATAGTGCACTGCAGGCTCTTCTGTTCTAAGTGTGCGGTCTGATTTTTTAGGAGGAGAATATTTGCTCTTTTGTGGAAAAGCATTAATGCAATTAGAATCTGATCAATGCAGTTTAAAAAGAGAGTGTTAGGTCCAATGACAGAGCCTGATTCTTTAGAACTGTGCCTGTTTGATGTCATGTTTAATTACTGTGATTAAATATCAGTATTTGGAACCTGCACATTCAAATTCTATGCACAAGCTTCTGTCATGGGAACTTAGGAAATGTTGATTTCAGGAGTGAATTCAGGATGGAGCTGCATCGGAGTATTTTGAAATTACTGTTCAAATACACAAATGTTTTTCATTTGCAAAAGATAGAAATGCAGGATGGTGCTGTTGTTTTGAGACGTGTCTTTTTGTGTTTCTCTTCCAAACAGTGAAGGAGAACAGGGTCCAAATGGTAGCCAGAACTCTAGTTATAGCCAATCTTAAGACATTCCAAAGAATTTCTTTACGGACCACTTTGACTCAAGACATCCTGGGATCTTTCCTGTGTTCATGAAATGGACAGAATTTTTTAATAACATCTTTGACAAAGAACTTGAAGAGTAAATAGCTTGTTTGTGTCAAGCATTTTGGAAGTTTTTTCTTTAAAACTGCATCATTTTCTCTGACGCTGGAGCAAAAGTACTAAGATTTCTCAGTGTAAGGAATCAAATATTAAACCAAGCTGCAAAAGGGTAATTCTATCCACTCAAAACAAATAGTTCATTACTGGTTTGGTTTGCTTTGAGAAAATTGTGGCTTGCCATTAAAAGTGATTTTTTTTTTTTTTTTTTTTTTAAGAGTGTTCTTGAAGCCTAAGTGTAACTATATTAATGACCTGTGTTGTCTTCATTTTGTTTGTGACTGAAGGAGGGTAGTGCACTGTATGTTAAACCTATTAATTACCTAGGGATTTGGTGATTTTTATTATTTTTTTTTTTTTCCTATCATCTGGATTTTCTAATAAGTGAAAACAGTCCTTCAGGAGCAAAGCACAGAAGAATTTGCAAAGAATGGTGTTAGAGTTTTAATGAAAACTGCAGGGAAGAAATTCAGTTCATTTTTGGGGGTTAGGAAGATGCTTGTTTTACTCAATAGATGTACTTGGATGTTTTTGCCTTGAAGTCTAGAAGCCCAACTTACCAGAAAAGTGCAATATGTATAGTGATTCTGCAGTTTTCCTAAGCATTTCAAGCATTTGGAATTTAAAAAACAAAACACCAACAATTATTTTTTTTGCATGTACTGTGTAAGTACAATTGGAGTATTTCACAAACAAATACAAATCTGGCTATGATTGGTTTTTTTATTTTTTTTTCTTTTGTATAAAAGATACACACTGTTAGTCTGCCTTCACTGTTAGTGTGAATTTGTGTGGCTCATTGAAGAGGTTATTTAAGAGGATCAAGCTTTTGGTGAGCTTCATACTGGCTAATTTTAATTGTGATCTTAGGAGCAACTCTTTAGAATAACTGAAATGGGATTCCTTGGTTGACTGCGTGCTGGAGAAAATGAGATTCCTTCAAATAGAAGGCCATATCCTGTGTTCCTTACTCAGGCAGATATCCCACTGAAGTCAGGAATTGGCCTAAATCAAATGTAATGATTTTTAGATAACTTCCTTTCTAAATAATTTCTGTACAACTTCATTTTGAATAAGAATGCTGATTTGCCCAACTATAAAAATTGAACAATAAAACAAAGTGAAGTACTGTTGCTGTCCAGCTTCTCCTTTCCTCAAACGCCACATTTCGCTGGTTTAAAATGCTAGGGAGGGTTCTACAAAATCTTCTGTGATGTTTTGACTCAAAAAAACTGACCCATTAAAAGAAAAGTGAACTCTGTTTTTGTAGATAATATCCCTCTGCAATTTACACCTCGTTCACTGAAACAGAAGTGTATTTATATGCAGCCAGCATGGCTACTTGTATTTAGTACTGTTCTAGTCATTTTTGTAAAAGATTAGGTAGTAAAATCCAAACCACTTTAATAAGATAGAAAAAACACACCGTGGCCTTTGCTACTGCTGTTGCCCTTCAACTGTACCTTTATAGACACCTAATTGATGAAGTGGGTTTGGATATTTGTCTTTGATGCTTGAAGCCTAGAGTGTTCTACTTGTGATGTGCACTTGGCAAGTAAAAATAAATGCACACTGACTGCTGTATGGACTTCGTAAGTATGAGCTGTTCTTCAGTTAAACATCAGTCTTTTCACATCTATCACACATCCCTCAAGCTTTTTTTATTTATTTAATTGGGGAACTTTACACAATTAAGAATGGACAGAGTGAAAAGTTTTCTCACTGCTAAAGAGCCTTTGCAAACTTTTCTTCATACCTTTATTATCTGTATGATCTAAATCTCAGAGCTAAAATATTGGGCACTTGATAACTAGAGGCATCTGAAGTAATTACTGTCAGGATGATGATGGTATTACCATCTCTGATTACAGTGTAAGCAGTGAAAGGCAATAGAGTGAGGTCAAAGGATCTGAATTCAGTGATGAGAATTACAAAACCTGTTTAAACAGCTTGGAAACTGTTAAGACTACAGAGAAAAAGGTTGGTAAATCTATTTCAATATTTTAGTTGTATGTTTTCCTTATTTTAAATTGCCTTTAAAAGGTGTTTAACAGTTGAAATAAAATCTACTACTAAGCATCAGAAAACTTACATTAAGATTTCTTAATGCACTGCATTAATTAATTCCACAAACCTCCTGCTCAGTTTCCTCATCGTCATCTGATGAGGCTGGATTCTGGGGAAGGCTTTCTTCAGGAGCAAAATACTTCTGCCCTTTGTGCTCTGCCCCTACTCATTGAAGTAACAATGGACTGAAGGACTCCACTGTGCAGCTGCTAAAATGCCAACTGGTCTGTGCCAAAGAATGTGATTTTGGGTTTTTTTTCCAATTGATAACAATTCTGCCCTTACTAAAAGGCTTGTGTTTCTTTTAGCCTCTTTCTTCCAAAATTTAATTTCTTAATAGAACTTAGTTTTCTAAGCCCAGAGAATATAGGATCTCTTGTTATGATTGGTTTGGTTCCCAAACAAAATCTGAAGGTTTCACCATATATGGTACTGTCCAATAGTATATGAAGAGTCAAAAAATCTCAGAATTCAAAGCTGCCAGCTGGAGCTGATCCTCTCAGAACAGGCACGTGAAAAGCTTGGTGGATGGAAGACACCCGAATTTGTCCTCAACAAATTCCCTTCTAGGGAAACAGGATGAACAGTGCGAGTGGCAAAATGGTGCTTTGGGAAAACTGAGTTAGAGTTTAGGTAACAGAAGGGGCCTCTTAATGTAGGTGGAGTTCTGGTGAAGAGCTACATTCAAGTATTACGTATGTATGAATGTGCATTAATGAATCCCTGCGTAACTCTGTATTACCAACAGCTTCAGCAGGCTATTCTGAGTCATACATAAGAAATTTGTAAACAGATGATGCTACATGAACAAATGTCACAGAGGTGAGACAGTTAGTTGCTAATTTTCAGAGCAGAACCAGAAATCTTGCTCTCTTTTTCCAGACATCCCGCAGAGTCGTAGACTTCTGCAGTTTTCTATAGGCTTTAATTCAGTTCAGAGTAATTCAGCTTTGCTAGTTCTCTTGAACTGCTAACAGCATTGAAACAGACAAATAAAAAACCCAATCCTTAGAATTATGACTATGCAGCTGTATAGGTGGGATGGGATGTGTTGTTTTTTTTTTTAACATTTCAGATGTACAAATTAATATACAAAGAAGAAAGCAGGGAGTTAGGTAGCTTCCTTGGATGCTTCACATTTTCCAATCTAAGATGATTACATCTCCATAATAACAACTTCAAGTAAATATAGACAAGTTCTCACTTGATACTGAGCTGCTAAGGAAAAAGAACAAGTTGACTGAGTGCTATTGCAATTTTGTGCTCAGAAGCAGACCTGTGTATGTAAATGGACATACTTCTAAAATAAGGAATCACACATTTTGAACAGCAAGTCAGTTTCCCATTGTATGCTCTTGATAACATGGCAAAAACTTAAAAATATAGCTATACATGAAGAATAGTACACCTGTGCTTAGGACACTTACAGCAATTCCATTAAACTGCAGTTATTCTAAACAAGCTACTCAACAAAGTTTTTTGGGAAGGATAATTTTATGCATGCTATCACCATTTATTTAAAGTCATAAAGCAAATCATGCCAAAATCCTAGCAGCCAAAAACATTAAAAGTCTTGTCACTTTCTTCCAGCAAATAACGTCGTGCAGATTAAAGGCTGAACAAATTTAACATCTTCTATTCATCTCATAGAACTTAATTGAAACAAAGCAGTTAATATGCATGGCTAATGAAATGCCCATTTACATGAGGGGAAACGTTTGTATTCTGAAAGTGGAATGTGGGTAGCTTAAATGCTAAAATCTACAAAGCATCCTGATAAAATCTACAAAGCATCCCGAAGGTGGGGCAGGAGCTGGAGGATGTCATCTTCATTTTTTCTCTAGAGATTCATGTTTTGCCCAGTCCTCAAGGCCACCAGCATAGTGCTGAACTCTGAAAGTATGCAGAAGATAAATATCATAAAGGACTCTCCTATCAATGTAGGAAAAGATAGGGAAGAGAAGTCACAGAAAAAAAGCACAACGAAATTATCTTAAATACACTTGCACATTATACAATGAACCAGCCAGAAATAAGGGAAGTCAAACACTGCCTGCATCTAAACAGTATATTCTGTAGGCCATTTCTTCCAAATAATGCAATGCTGGAGATCAAACATCAAGCAAGTAGTGGCAGATGGATCAATTAAATAGCTTGCCAATGAACTCACTGTAGTGGGACATTATGTGACATTATGCCTAATACTTCAGATGTTATGAAGTAAAAACACACGGGTCTTTAGTCTCTTGCAAACATACATGCTATACAGATCTGATATAATCCTGGGAAAAAACAGTCGTGATTAAAAAAGAAACACCATGCAAAACAATCCTTCAGTTAGGCAGTATGAAAAACAGGTGATAAAGGTTATTTTGCACTTATTTAAACGGCAGATTTATGAAACAAGAGCATGGTTCCACACTTTTGACTGTAATTGGCAGAAATACTCCAATTCTTGAATTGCTGCTCAGCAAAAACAGGGGCAAACAATCAATTTTTGAAATTTCTGCAGCCTTCTAGTCAGTGAGATGCCTTCTGTTGAGACCCTAACAACTCCACCAGTCAAATGCTACCATTTCTTTCACTCCGTCAATCTTGCTGTCTTTTTCACTAGTCGCTTCACTACTTTGTAAACAACACACTGCTTTACTGAAAGCCATACTGGAAGTCATATTTTATCACCATGAAATGTACAGGTGAACTGTACAGGTGGAACAGCAGTTTCACAAAGGATATGTTTTCATAAACTATCTAAGATTTTACTTGTACCAAAATAAAAACTATTCTACCTTTCCAGTCATCCTGCATGTGAAGATCAGTGTTATGATGCTGTACAAGTGGCATCTCAGCAAGGAATAAGTAATAAGTAGAAAGTGCTTCCAACACCAATGTGGTCCTGCAGCACATGGAATCACTTCCAGCATAAAAGCAGAGTTGCTGGGGGTTGTTTCACAGGATGTCTCACTTTGCTGTAACACCAAATACCATCTTTCAAGGTTCAGAAAAGGTACTGTTTGGCAGTTCTCTACCTATAAGATTAATCTCTTCATTCAGTTCCACGTCAAAAATATTACTCACACCCATTGGAAGTTGAGAGAGAGTTCTGATGTACTTACTGGGAGAGGTCATAGTAATTTCATCCTTATGCATGATTTCATGCTTACCTGCTGAAACCCAGGGATGCAGCAAAACTCAGTGCTTGTCTACTTCTTGTTCCTGCAAAGCAGGAGAAAACCACATGGTCTGACTTGGCAGGCATCTTCTGATTGTACTGCTCCCTAAAGTCTGCTGGATTCATCTGCAGAGCTTCCACTAATTCATTCACTGGGAAATAGAAAAATAAAACAATATAGAAAGTCTCACTTATTCTCTGTCCACCAGTAGATCTACATTCTAATGTTTCAAATTCCTCTGGGAAGATCTGGGCTCCACTGCTCAAGAAAGACAGGGATTTTCTAGACAGAATCCAGTGGAGGGCTACAAGATAATTATGGGCCCTCCATATGAGGAAAGGCTGAGAGACCTAGGATTGTTCAGCCTGGAGAAGACTGAGAGGCAGTTGCATCAACGCTTATAAATATCTTAAGGGCAGGAGTCAAGTGGATGGGCCCAGGATCTTTTCAGTGGTGCCCAGCACAATTAGTACAAAACTAACACAGGGATTTCCATACAAATATGAGGAAAAATTCCATAACTGTGAGGGTGACAGCACTGGCACAGGCTGCCCAGAGTGGCTGTGGAGTCTGTTTCTCTGAAGAAATCAAGACCCACCTGAACTCCTTCCTGTGCCACCTGCTGTAGGGAGCCTGCTTTAGTGGGAGTGAGACCAGATGATCTCCAGGTCTCCTCCAAACCCTGGTGTTCTGTGATCATGCGTCCATAGCCTTGCCAAACTGCACCAACAAACATTTCCAGGCAGCAGTGCGAGTATCTTACATGGTATGTTGATGGACGCCGGGATTTTCCCATCTCTCTCAATCTCCCACCTCTCTCGAACATCGATGTGGAGGACGTTTGCTTTCTTCAGGTTCTTGAGCTCCTGGTAAGACACGCTACTCTCCCTGTCGGAGCAGAGTCTGGGGGAACTGACATGTACCGCCCTCGGCTCTGTAAAAGCAGCACAGCCCGTGAGCGCACGCCGAGCTCCCCCCTGCTACCGGCAGCAAGAAAGCGTGAAACACTTCCTCAAGCTCCGCGCCTCGGGTGATCCCGGGCCCCGCCAGCCGCCCCCGCCACCCCGGTCCGGGCTCCCCATGCCGCACCCTGCCTCACCGGGTGCTGCCCCCCGCCGTCCCCAGCGGCTGCCGCCCGCCGCCCGGAGGGCCAGCACCGCCCGGCACCGGCACCAGCCGCAGGCTGCCATACTTCCGAAGATGGCGGCGACGCCGGCCCGCCCTGCCCTGCCCTGCCCGCTGCTGGGGGCCCTCCCCTCCGGCAGCCACCGCTTTGGAGCGAAGGGATGAGGGACCCCCTCTCCTTCCACGTGTTTTTGTACGCACACCCCGTACCGGTGATGCCCGTCCTCAGAGGCAGGCGTGCTGATCATCTCCCTTCCTAAAACGAGGACTGTGTTTTGAGGGCTACAGTCTTCCCTAATGAGAATTTTCTTTTTCCAAACGAGAACAAAGTGTTCCTCAGAGCTGGAGAGTGTGACAGATCGAAGCTGGCACAAGAGCTGGTTCCCCAGCCGCCCTTCTGCCATTCCCATATGGCCCCATGACGGGCATTCGCAAATGTCTCTTTGGAGCAGCATAGCTATATGTGAGTTAAAGCTTTATGCGCTTTCCGTTTTTAACAGAACACAGGGGGGTGGAATGCTTCCTCTTTCGAGTCATGTTTCATGTGCGTACTTCTAAAACAGCCACCCAGGTTTCCGTGTGTTGCAGTTCGGACTGTAGGTACGAGTGGTGGTGTGTCAGAATGGTTTGCGCATGAGACACAAATTCGCATCAGGTTGTATTTGTATGAATTAGTTTGTATGGCTTTGGTGTGACCTAGGATCACACATACACACACACAGAACACACTGCCCTGTGTGCAAAAGCTGGAACAACTCAGAGGCTGGCTTTTGAGGGATTAGTTTGAAGTCAGAGTGGCTTGAGCCAGCCACATTCCCATGGTTACTGAAGGGACAGGACAGGGGATAGCAGTAGCCCAGCCAACGCTCCGTGCTGTGGTACTGCATGAATCACCATTTCCAATAACTTTTCCATCTTTTCTACAAAAGCAGCATACTTACTGTCTTCTCACCTTCGTGGTACTGCCATTAGCATGCACCCACCAAACTTACCCACTTTCCCACTCCCCTTAGCACCATAATCGTGCTTTACTGAGCGCTCTTGGTTTTCCCTGCTTTCTCTGCTTTCACTTTACTTTTCTCTCTGGCTCTGACGGCTGGTGCTGTTCACGTTTCATCCTTCCTCACCCCTGGCCTTTCGTTTTCCCTCACTACATGATATCTATAACAAGTCTTCCTACCGCACAGCTGTAACTTACCCTCGTTTTTCCTGGGATGGGCATAAAGCCTTCTGACCTCACCGCACAGAGTTCAGTCTGTGCTTCCCTAACCATCTCCTCAGCGCGTGTGCAACGCAGCCGCTGCAGGTCCTTGTTTTCGGAGTGCCCCACAGCACACCCCTTTCCCTCGGCGTCTCTAGAGCCACATTCCCCGCACGCTGCCCGCCCCAGGCCGGCTCCTGCCCCGCTCACCCAGCGCCGGGCCCGGCCCCTCTGGCGCAGGAGGCGGCCGGGCCGGGCCCGGGGGCGGGCCGCGCCGGGCGGAGCGGAGCGGCGGGGCCCTGGCTGCGGCCCAGCTTCCTCCGCCGCTTCCTGCCGCCGCCGTGCCTGGGCGCCCGCCGCTCGGTGAGTGCGGGCCGCGGGGTGGCGGGGAGGCCGCCGGCCGAACTCAGGAGGGCCGTGCCCGCGAGCGGCTTTTCCCGCCGAGCGGATGGCGCGGGGCCACGGCGCGGGTGCGGACCGGGGCAGGCCGGGACCGATTCTCTCAGCCATGGCGGCGGCCGGCGCCGAGACCGCGGCCTGGGGGAAGGGAAATCGCGGACGGGGAGACGAGGCGTCGGGTCTACGCCGCGGGGCCGGGCCCCAGGGCGACCGGCCGGAGATCCCCGTTCCCGGGGTTCCGGGCGGCGCTGCCCGGCGCCGCTCTCACGTAGCAGTGGAACGCGGCTGGTGTGGGCTCGTGCTGCCTCGCCGGCTGCCAGCTGCTGGTGTCCGCCAGCCGTCAGCGGCCCGAACGCGCTGAGCGTGCGGCGAGGTGAAAATAGCAGCATCGGGCCGGCCTGCCGAGCTGCGGCGAGCTCCTCGGCGAGATGCCTGCGCGGTGAGAGGGAACCAGCCGCCGCGCAGTTGGTTGGGTTTAAGCATAAGCTGCGGTCACTTCGCATTAGGCGAGTGAGCGGGCGCGCTCCGCAAACGCGGCTGTGACATAGCGCTGCGGTCCCGTATCGCGATGCCGTCAGGCGGGCTGTGCGCAGCACTGACAGCGCAGCGTGTGCCGGCACGGGGTGGCGGGGAACCGTCGGTGCGCACCGTCCCGGGCCGGGCCTCCTGGGCCGAGGTGCGTGTTGGGGGCCGGGCGGCAGCCTGCCCGTGCTCTTCGTTCGTCGGGGTTGTGGGCCCGCAGACTCGCAGCAGCTGCTCTGCAGTGTGTATTTGGGTTCGTATTACGATATTTTTTTTTTTTTTTTTTTTTTTAACGCGTGGATGTTCGCAGAACTTCAGTCCTTTGTCATCTGTAGGCTTTACTTCAGGAGCTCACCCTGTTCTTGCTGTGGGAGTGTTACCACTAATAGGATGTGGCTGCATATTAAGCACAGGAGCACGAGAATAAACGTATGCAAAGTAGGAGCTGATAGCGTTCACTTCAGATATACTGTGGCATGTGGTCCTTAGGTACAAGTGAATTCTACTAGACAGACCTTTAGTACGTGAAGACTCAAACATTTCACCCCCCCAATTTTCTAGCATTTTAAATGGAAGGAGGGTAGTGGCATGCACATACACCAGATTGATGGCAGAGCATGCCTTGTAAAACCGTTCTGCAGCTTACTATGGTTGTAAATATTTTGTCAGATTTCTTCATGAAATATTGAAGAACTTGTGTTCTGTAGTTTTGTTTCTGCCTGATTCGCAGAAATGCAGCTGGCATCTCACAGTTCTGCTGCGGTACATCAAGGACAAGTCGTTCTACTTTAGGTGTGTTAGCAAAACAAACTGGGGCAATTTGTATGTAGGAGGGAAGTAGAATGAAATGCTTTGCTCTGTGCAGCAAGACTTTGACTTTCAAAGAGCTCACACTAGTTTTTCATAGTCCTTTATGCTGTCTGTTCTACCACATCAATTAGCTCACTCCCACAGCTTCCAAGGTAGATGCAAAGCTTTGCGTGGTCTGTGGTCTTCGTCTTCCTGGGACCTGTTCCAGCTCAGGTGGGGAGGCTGTATGATACCAAGGCCTCTCAGCTTGTAGTGTGGGCTTCAGTCTGCCCTCTCAGGCGGTGTACTACAGCCACAGTTCCTTTCTATTATGTGACTTGAAGAAAAATTATTTTTTAATTTTTCTAAGACTGCACAGACATTTCATCACACTTCACTCTTTATTGGTATTGCCCTTCATTTTTTCTTTATGACATCTTGAACAACTTTTTGTGGTTTTTGTCCCACAGCCCTGCCAGGATGCCATGAGCTCCCTACTGGTTCTCTGGCTGTTTTGGCTGTTATTCCTCATGTGCTTGTGGTGACGGCACTGCTCACGTTCTGCTCACACCACGTGGCTGCTGGGGCTGTCAGCACTGCCAGCACATTGTTGCTTCACAGGGGAAGTTCTCTGTCGGGCCAGCATAATGACTTAGAAGCTACAGCTCTTGCTAAGATACTGATGCATTTCTGTTTCTCAAGGATATTCATGGATCTGTAGGAAAATCCATGTTAGACCCTGAACATGTCAGCCCAGATGCTTTTCCCTCTTGGTGTATTCGTTATTAGGCTGGATATTGGCAGGAATCCCTGATTTTTTTTTTCTGTCTGAAAGTTTCTAGCAAAACCTTTGGTATAAAATGCTAGTAAAAATATGTCATCAAAGAACTGTTCCTTTTACCCACTCAATCCTTTTATTTACTTGGGTCATAAACCCAGTTTTGGGCTCTTTTCTCTTCCTGTTTCAGGGCACATCTCTTTTCTCTCCATCGTTAAAAGCAGGTTTGTTTTTTTTTTTTGGTGGCAATTAGGTTTCAGTGGTGCATACATGGAGGATTGTGTAGGAGGCAGACATGAACACTGACAGACTGTTTGGCATGGACAGATGAATAAAAAAGAGTAGTAAAAATAAGAAATGCCATGGGATTTTCACTCTCGCTTGGGAAGTTGTATCCAGTGGTCAGAAGGCTCTGTCCATCTGATGTGCAAAAAGTACATCTGTGTCTCACTCTGTGAGGACTCCAGTCTTGTGTCAGGACTGGCGTTTGAGCTCCAGTGATGGTGTAGGATGTGTGATGTGCCTTTGGGCTAGGAATCTGGGAGATGACACTCTGAGAATTTCAAACGACGTTTTCCAGGGGAAGAAGTGTTGCTGCCACTACCAGTCAGCAGTTCTGGTCCTATTACTGCTCCAGCAGGCAGTGAGGGCTTGTTTGTTGTGAAGGTTTTGGTGGCTGTCAGAACGCACTATGTCCTGGCGGCTGATCGATGGCACTGCCCAGTTGCTGACTGTGATGGATGTGGTTCTCGCTGCGATTGGGTGACATTTGATCTAGCAGTGAGTGAGCCAAAATGCCACAGGTGATGCTCTGAACAGACATCCAAAATAGATCAACTTGCAGCTTGCATCAAAACATGTCGCAAATGTGCTCGCAGGGAAGCTGGCATTACTGTCCTGGGCCAGTCAGTCATTTTACAGTTAGAAGGAAGCTTGTAAAGTGCCATTGCAAATGTGCTACAGAGCATCTTGACCTTTTGGCTTAATCTGATCAGCGTCCTGTGCTTTGGTGATAGGCTGCTGTTGGCAGCTGTGCCATGAAAGCCCTCTGCCGATTTTTGGAATGCTATATTTAGTGCCTTTCCAGTATGATATAATGCTTTTTTTTCTTTTTGTGTGTGTGTGTGTGTGCTAGCAACATAAACTGATATAGTTTTAATTGGTAAGTTTTAACACAAATGGTGAAGTGGTTAGCATTGAGGATACCTGAGATGAATTGAGGTCCCAGCTCATTTGAATTCAGGTGCTCACTGTTGGGGTAATTCACTGTACTGGTTTCATAGTTAATGGCCAGTTCTTCTGGGAGAGTCTTTTCCATATCCAAAATAGTACCTGGAAACCATCTGGAGGCTTTTGGTTCTATTTTATAAGTGTGCTTAGATAAGCTGATGGTTATTAAGTCGTTTTTATCTTACTGTTTACATTCCAGTAATGCAAGTGTTATTCTCCCAGATAATCATGAAATAGGAGGAGTGTGGTGATAGGCGTTATGCAGATAAGAACACATAAATACAGCACTTGGCTGGAAGATCTGGCACACTAATTGTAAGATGGAAAAAAACATAGATCTTGACAGATGGAATGGAACATTGGTATGGGAGCCGGCAGTGTGTCAGGCTATTGCTGATTTGCTGGTGTGCTTCAGGTTTCTCACAAATGCCCTAGTGAAGGTACAGCATAAGAAAACGTACTGCCAGTGCAGTGAGTTGTCGGAGTTGAGGGAGGAGGTACTCAGCTGCTACGTACAGTGTGCAAGATAAGATGCGAGTAAGCTTTGAGGATATCAGCAACAAAGTTTGTACCTCCACCTCCCCTGCATAAAGATCTTGTGGAGAGGAGTGACTTGTTTGTTTATTTTTCCCCAAAAGAGAAGTGAAACACTAACCTGATACCTTCTATTGCTCCTAGCTCTACTCAGTTTCAGTAAAACATAATGTTTAAAAAATAACATTTATCTTAGGAATTACATTTGAGTCTTTGAAGTTTCTAAATACATACTTCATTGAAAGGGCTATGTTAAATATAGGCTATTTCAGGTATACCTTACATTAAAAATAATCTAGGTGTACCTGAGTTTAAGTCAACAAATTTAGCACTGTTACCTTCTGTTGCTTGTTGGCACTTTATCAAATCTGAAGCTTTTAAAATTAGGCAGGCAGATTGTTCTGCTGCTTTTGAAGTGTTTTGATCTTTCTAGAAAGGTGGAAATTAGCAGTTACAGAGAGGTGCTTTTGATCTTCATCAGCTTTTTGTAGGCAGACTGCCATTACGAGTCATTTTAAAAGTAAAAAATAAACCAAGAATAGCAAGCAATGATGGTTACACTTCAAACTCTTGTATGCTGAGCTCAAAGCGTCTGAACAAGTTTGGCAAGAACTACTTCTTAGATTTGTATGGAAGGATTATTTAAATGGATGGGATTTGGCTCTTTCTGTATTTATTTTTTATTTTTCCACAAAACTGAATTATTTTTATTTAGAGAGGCTGGGTTGGAAAGAGGCAAATTGTGTGGATATTGCCAACATTTTAATCCTCAGTGTATCTAGTTCATTTTGTGTTTACTTCCCCTCTGCCTGCTTGTCTTGAATGGATTGTGCCTATGATCAAAAGAAATGTAGAGAGTTTCTTTCTTGCTTTCTTCTAAGCTGTATTTTATGGTTTTTTTGAGGGGATCTATTTTTGTTCAGAGTTTTCACTCCTATTAATTTTCAATCTTTTGTTTCACATACACGGAATCATTTCTGAGGAGTAACTTCTGAAGCACCTTACAACTCTTCTATCTCTCAGCTAAATACAATAATCAAATTCCTTGCATAATCACTTTGATCCTACATTATTGGTTGTGATTTAAATTATTATATTCAGTTTTCTTCTTGTAATGTTTTTAGACCCTAAATGTGTAGAAGGAGGTTGAGCAGTGCTGTGTATGTACTGTGCTGCTTGCATCTCAGACGCTTGCTGAATGGCTCCCTTTTCTTAGCCCTTCATCCCACTTCTGTGGGATGATTCAGAAATCAGATACAAGCCTTGTGTGGTCAATCCTGATATTCAGTGGCTTTTCCAAGAACTGTAGAGTCAGTAAACATTGCCTGATGGACGCTTCTCTGTTTGTGTTTGTGAAAACTGACTCATCTGCTCGTCCTTGTTACCTTTTGTTCAGCCTGCTCTTACTTAATGAAGGCAGAAGTGTCTCCAGATTGGTTGGTGGATTGCCAAAATGTGTGTTGTCAGTGCTTGGATTTTATGTCAGCATTCATTCTGATACTATCTTGATTATATTTTGTCAGAAGGGCCTCCTTTCCAATTATTACAGGTTTGATGCTCTTCCTTCCACATGTCCCAAAGGCATGCTGAGAGAGGGTTCCAGCAGCGAGCTGCTCCTGTCTGTTCCATGTGGTGTGCTCTGGCCTGTTGGCCACAGGGGTTCAGAGGTGGAAGAGATGTGCTTGCATTTCAGCTAGTCAGGTGCATAACTGTTCTTTCATGAAGATATAAGGGGACTTGAAATGGACCAGTGTGAGCATGACCATCAGTTGGGTGAAATTTGTGGTTTGGGCAGTCTTAGACAATCTGTCCAAACAGTTAAAAGAAATTCTCATGCTGAAACAAAGCGGTAGATAATTACATCAACGTTGAATAACCTAAGCACAGTTGTGTTCCTTGAGGGAGGACATCTTGTTGTCTTCATTATTGGCTCTTCACATAATGTAGTGTAAAATCATCAGTTTTCTGACAGCAGCTGTATCAGCCTTACTGTCTGATGAACATCACGATGAACCTTGTGCTTGGTTAAGCCATGCTGCAACAAGTGATGGTGGGCAGTTTCACGTGAAGCTTGTTTGGGTATTAGACGATGACAAGGTAGAAACGCACACTTGAAGTTGCTTGGCTTGAAAGCACCTTTCTCTGTTCTGTGATACATGTGTTGATGTACATCAGGGATTTTAAATTTACTCAGTTATAAGTAGTCAAGAGCTGGTATAGTCAGATCTTTCTTACTGTGTGAGCACAGACTGCAAATCCGCCAAGTCAGCAACCTGAATTTAGTAACACTGCTTACTTGAATGTCTAGGCATTTGAAGCTTTATGTTGTTAGCTACAGAAAATTTAAAGATCTACAATTTAAGATCTTGATGGCATAAATTAATTGCCCTTATATATTGTGGCCAACTACAAAAAAAAAAAGAAAAAAAAAAAAAAAAAAAAAAAAAAAAGAAAAAAAGTGTGTTTTAACAGGCTGAAGATATGTGAAGTTACCCGTGCAAGGAAGCAGAGAACAGAGGTTATTCTTACTCTACAGAATCCCAATTCTTCCAAAATACTTCTGTGATTGGTAGTGAGGTGTTTCTGCAGGAACCTAGCAGTAGTGTTACGTGCACAAGTGTCTGTCCAGGTTTGTAGGAAGCCTGAAGCAGTAGCTCTAAGGCATTCCTTGCCTACTTCACCCCAGTGAGGGCTGCTCGCGTGCTAACAGTGGTGAGTCCCAGTGGCTTTCAGTGTTGCAGAAGTACAGTGAAGATTTAAAAACTTGATTAGACAACGGCAAACGTATTTACTAGATCTATAATGAGAATGCATCTTTTGCTGTTCCTAAATGTGAAGTGTTGCAGAGGTTTATTACATGTCAGTGTGGTAGCACAGCTAAAAAATGTTTGGTATTGGTGGATCAAATGACTTTATTAACCTGTATGTGGTACTACAACAAGATGTCGTTGCTCTTCCAAGCAGAATGCCTCACAGATTTGCTGTGCTTGAGTATTTGACTGTCTCACGTTGATATGCTTTTGTATCTCAAAACATAAGTTTATTTGTTTTTATGAAGCACGTCATAAAAGACATCCCGCAAATGAAACCACAGAAGCTGTGTGATGCACTGCAGTGCTGATTCAGTGAATTAAGATTTGGATTTTGATTAAGTAGCTAGTGCACTGAAATCTCTGTTAAATTTATTAGTTAGTGTAAAATATTTATCATTCAGTTCTTTGTCTCTTAGGACTCTCTTAATAATTTCTGTGAGTGTTCATTTGTGTGGATTCTCTGATGTTTAACAAGGGGGTCAGCTCACACCGTAGTTGGTGATGACACACTGATGGCAGTTTTGTAAGAATTGGAAGACATTTGTCTTTTATTAAACCATCTGAAATTGTTCAAAATATTTTCAGGAACATGTACAGGTAAATGATGACAGAAGCCTTTCTTACAGGAGATATGTTATGGAAGAGATGTGTTAAGGAAGGGAGCTTTCCTGGTAAGATGTGGCTGGGACTGTGTAGTAGTTTAAAATGGTAAAAATAAATAAATCTCACTATCTCAGATATTTAGCATTGCTGCCTGGAAGCACATGTCCCCTGTAGCTACAGATACAATTTATAACATCGTGTAATGTAACTGATCTTACAGCATTCTTTAGAGTTCATTCCTGACATATTCATATTTTTTTATCACAAAGTAGGTGACATTAGTCAAAGTCTAAACCTGTGTTCCTGAGGCTTGAATACATGACGTGCTCACATGCTAATAGAGTTTAAACTTAACGATATATTTAGGCAATAAGTAATTCCTTTTTATCCTTCCTAGTAAGTAACAGATGCGGGTGAAAGATCCATCAAGAGCTAACCCTGAGAAAACAAAGAGAAGCAAAAGGCCTAACAGGCCACAGGATGAAGACTCTTCAGATGATATTGCAGGTAAATACATTAAATGATGTTTTGCTCTAAGGTTGAGGGCTAATAATTTCCATGTTGACTGATGAAAACCACAACTCATTGGTACCAGGAAGTACTTTTATTGCTTGAATTCATGACAGGGCATCTTCAATCAAGTCTTTACTTTGTGGTTGTTACACTGCATGACTGTCCTGAAGGGTTGGTCTTCCATGACAGCCATTTCAGAACACAGTAGCAGTCTTTTCTCATGCACAGAAGATCAGATGCACGGCAGGGGGATTTGTGGCTGAGCAGAGAGCTTCTGACTGAACTGGGGGGCAAAGATGAAGCATAGACAGAGTAGAAGCAGGTTGAATTGCAATCTGAGGGGCTTTGATTATGTAGGGATGAGATTGGGTAAGCTTCATTGGTTAGAGTTGAATCTGATGCAGGAAGTGATGGTTGAGAGGGGCTTCTTTTGGTATTGTGACATCAAAATGAAGGCTGAGTGTGAATGTGCAACTTGAGGGTGCAGGGCACCTAGGGACAGGGGACATGGGAAAAAGCTGAGGAACTCAATCTTTTCTTTGCCTGTCTTCACATGTAACAGTGTCTGCACTCAGTCTCCTCTGGTCCTTGAGCCTAGTGGCAGGTTCTAGGTTGAAGTATTATCTGGAAAGAAGGCAATTGAGAGCTGTTATGCAAATTGGCATACGTGTGTTCATGGGATCAGGTGGAATGCATATGAAGCTGATGAGAGCTGTGTGATGTTCTTGTGAGGCTGCACTCATCTTCATAAATATCTGGATAGCAAACTGGGAGAGGAGTTGATATAAAGGAGGGTAGGTTGTCTATTGAGATTGGCTTAGGCAGCTAGAGAATTGAGCTGACAGAAACTTCACGGACTTCAGCAAAAGCAAGTGGAGAGTCTTGAGCCAAAATAATTGCATGCAGTTACAGTGTGGGAACCTTTACTGTTGCTGAAGTTAAAGATTGTGCTCCTTTCATGTACATATGCTCTCCTTCCTAACTGTTATTTTCAATTGCTCAAAGTGTCATTTTCTTTAGGCTTAACCTGCCAGCACGTGAGCCAAGCAGTGGATGTACATCATGTGAAGAGAGCGGTAGCTCAGAGCATTTGGTCAATATGTTCAGAGTGTCTGAAGGAGAGGCGGATGAGTGATGGTGAGCCTGTGGCACCTTCAGACATATGGCTGTGTCTCAAGTGTGGCTCTCAGGTAAGCAGCTGTTCTGAACTCAGGGATGGATAAGCCCTGATTTTCTAAAGGACATTACAGATATAGATCCTGTTGGCATGACATCTCATTACTTTTGGTGAAACAGTGTTACTTAAGTGCTTAGTTGTGAGAATCCATGCTTCAGCTTTTTAAATAGACTGGGATGTGGCCTTGTGTTCTTTGCTGTTTTTGTCAGTATTTTGGGGTAGCTTTATTTATGTGCAGCTCTGCACCTACAGGTGGTAGTTCCCCTCTTCTCTGTACTTCATCTACGTGCTTTTGCCACATATGGAAAATTAGCTCCAGGAACTGTACAGTTGCAAAATACATCAGTTGAGCTGGCTTATGTGACAGAAGATACTGCAAATACGAATGAACAAATAAGTGAATTTGCAAATTGCTGAATCAGTTTATACTACAGACACTCAATTGCTAGATTTGATTGAACCCAAGAAGAAGGAACTGGGTGGAAGTGAGAATGCTGCTTTCTGTTAATTTTCTATTAAGGCTAATAGTATGGATCAGTTACAATGTCACTTTGTGGCCTCAGAGTTTAAAAGTGAAGGTCCTGGCCCCAAGAGCTTGTGTAGATTTCTGGCCTGTGACTGAAGTAAAGGCTGATTCTGAAAAATGGAGTTTACAAGCAGCATCATGCTTATTTCAGCTGATAGTTGCCTAGAAAGAACATTTTCAATTTTGTTAAACAATCTACTTACAGATCTTTCTATACAATAAAGACAAATGCCAGCTTCTACCAGGATTATCTGAATATATTTAATTTTAAAAAGAAGCATGCTATTACTAGGCTTTGGAAGGCAGTTAGCTAGATCTGAGGAGGACTCGTAGATTAACTCTGAAAAACTATAGCTAAGGAGATCTTTTAAAGGAGTTAAATCAATGTGCTTTTTCATGTTTATGCAGTCAGTGGCTTCTAAAATTCACGTCTTATTCAGAAACCAGTATTCCTCCTTAGTCTTCTAAGTTCCACTCTGTAGATACTTGAAAAACTACATTTTCTCTTGAATTTGCTGTACATAAGTGTTTTATTCTGAGTAGTTTTTTAGTGGGGAAAAAAAGAAATGAACAACACCACAACAGTTTATATGCCTTTTGCATTCGCTGTTTGGAATGCATGAGCAATCTTGAGCAGTGAAGGTTACCTTGATATTCCATGGACCAAATGAGCTACACAATTATTCACCTTTTTTTTGGTAAACCTTTGTAAGTGGCATAATTGGCTTTATATTGACAATACTCATTCAGAAGATAGGAGTTATTTCTCTTAATTCAAAACAAGCTTAATATTTTTCCTAAGTAGAAAATATGAGATACTATTTTTGTGTTGTAATGAGTTTTCCTGTATTAGAAAAAAAGAAAGTGTGCTTTTTTTTTTTTTCAAAAACGTTAATTGATGTCTTTGTCATTGGATTATTTTGAATGTTAAACCCTTTTAGTTGTTGAGAATGAATATTTTTATGCATTATAGCTTTCTGCTTGATTTTGAAAAGTAAAGTTTTTATAGCTTATTTAACTAATATACTCTTTTCCCACTTCCCTTTTGTTCTCACTATATTAATGTTTCCATTTTTAGGGATGTAGTAAGAACTCAGAAGGACAGCATTCTCTAAAACACTTCCAAACAGCACGCACAGAACCTCATTGCATTGTTATCAGTCTCAGTACATGGATCATATGGTAAGAATAAGTAGGAAGGTGTTCATTTATGCTTGTATATAAGGTTACTCCTAACTAAGAGCGCTGTCTTTTTATTATAAAGAGTACTTCTGGAAGATAAAATAACCTGTTTATGTAGATCTCTGAAGAGCAAAGAGGCAGGTTTTCTGTACAGAAAATTAGTTTGTGCTTAGGTATGTAGAGAGATCACAAATCCAGTAAAATAGAAAGCAGTTTTGGTAAGCTTCCTGCCTGCCTGTCCCATGAGAGCTGCTTTTTCTTTTTATCTTCTTCTTAGTCTAAACACGGGTTTGTTCCTGTCAAATGATATTCATCACATCTCCCACCTTTTTCTTGTATGTCAGTTGTTTTTAAGTAGGCAAAATGTACACTGAGTTGTGGGCTGAGATGTGATTTTTGCAGTGTGCTTTATTGCCAGTGAAGAAGATTACAGCATACTAGCATAGTAGTTTGAGAGTCTGTTGTGTTGTGTAGAGAGTTGATCGATTTTAGGAGTTTGCTTTTCCTGCTTGTTTCTATCTGGCTACTTGCAGGGCTTTTAACTGACATTAATTAAATCTGTTAATTTTGAAGTGAATTAGGGCTGATCTTTACATCAGAATGTGTATGGGATGAGGGGATTTAATTTTATTCCTCTTTTTAGCGCAAAGATTTGAGACCTAGAGCTTAAGTAATTTGTGTAAGATGTTTTTAAAGGTCAGTTAAAACTTGGAAGTGAATACAGACAACCTGAATTCCAGTGCATTTCCTCTTTTGTTTAGGTGTTATGAATGTGATGAAGAGCTGTCAACACATTGCAACAAAAAGGCTTTGGCTCAGATAGTTGACTTTCTTCAGAAACATGGTTCCAGAGCTGAACCAAGTAAGTATACACAAATAGCTGTATCTGGAACATCTGTAATGTACTGTCTCTAAAAATGAATATTTCAAATTTTGAGTCATATTAAACATTTAATTCGAAAAGTATATATGAGTATGGGAGTATAATGCAATTTTTAATTGCATGACTATTTGGGCAAGTTATGCTTATCATAGTGGTTTTTATAAACAATTGAATTTCTTTTATTCAGCACAGTTAATTCTTTCAAGTATTTTGAGCACTATAGGATGGTTTTCCCAAGCTTTATCTTTAATGAAGAAGTACCAGTTTGTTCTAGAGAAAATATTATACCTTAAGTAAAATGCCATATGAATTAATGCACAGAAGCTACCTGGAGGAATTAACGAATTGAATTTTAAAAGAGTAGATGTGTAACATCTCGAATTTTTTCTGATTCTGATTTGTTTTCTGTAGTTAATTAAATTTGTGTAAGGGGATCTTTATAGTACTCTATTGTTGAGTGTAATGCTTTCTGTTCTTTGATGTAATTGGATTGTGATGTAATGCTTTTTTCTGTTAATAGAAAATTATGTTAAATTATTTTCTTACTTGAGGAGCTTCCTATATTTATCAGTATATGTGAATATAGATAGAACATTGTATGTGTGGCCCTCAACTGTCTGCTCTTGAGAATCCTTATTATTCATCCCTACTGTAACACACACAGGAGCATTTCTGGCTTTTGATTTATGAGAGACATCAGATTCCAGGTTACACACACACACAACACATCACATCACATCACACCACACCACCCTCCCAGTCTGGTTGGAAGTAAGATTGGAACAGAGTGCCTTACTGGATTGAACTACATTCTTCTAGCTTCATATGCACAAATCCTGCTAGTTCTAATAGGTAATTCTTGAGGGGAAAAAAGTCTACATGTCACTCAGAAATTCATATTTTGTATTTTATCTGGTCACAAGTTCTACACTGAGTAATTTATTTGTAATAAATTTATGAATTGCTCCTTTTTGCGTCATTTTGCCTGATGAAATGAATGATGAAAATGCTGTGTGTGATTTCACTTTTATTCATAGCTACAGTTTCAAGCTTTCATGTAGACATAAATTGCTGTTGCAGCTCTCTTGCAGATAAAAATGGAATGTTTGTTTCAGTTAAGTTAATGGAAATAATTTCATTCTAGCTTAGAACTTCTGGGTAAGACTTTCAGAAGTGATAGGATTCTTTGTGCTTCATGTTTTGGAATATTAATTTGTGAAATTTGAAGACATCTAAAGCTTTCAGAGTTGAGGGCTTAGAAAATTACTTTTCTGTGAAATGTCTTAAATTAAGCAAGCACAATTCCAAACTAGTTCAGAAGAAGTAGGGTTGTCTTAACAATCAGGAGATTGTATTAGAGCAGGGCAGAATGAATTTTCTCTATATATGGTCAGGATTTCTGCAGGGTTTGTTCTGGCCTGGGTCAGTTCCCCGGTGTACCCCACTGCATGCTCATTTCTGCAGCAAAAGGCTGCTCCATGTGTGGGGATGGCTGCTGGAGGGCAGTGGCGTTGCCTGTGCTGTTCCAGACAGGCTGAGGCTCACCTGCAGAAGTAGGAAAATATGTGCCCTGAGCTGGGATGTTTGCAGCCTTCAGTCAGGAAGTGGCTGTGCCAAGCTGTTCAGTTTGAGCTCTGGCAGTATTGGCCCAAAGGTACTTTGTTGGGCTTCTTCAGGCGGCGATTAAAAGAGGAAGAAGCTGTTTGACTCACATGGTTGGTTGTTTTGGTCCCAGCTACCCCTGGAAGGTGCTAGGAAACACTGATGCATGGATGAATAAGTAATAGGTGTGTAAGCAGGAATTTCCTAACCGATCTGATGTTCTAGTTTTACTTCCATAAATTCAACAGCAGTCTTTTACATCGCAGTTACTTTGAAGCACCAGGTGCTTGCACTAGAGAAATGTAGCTTAAGAGTTGTTTTTTTTAAAGGCTAGAATACCTTCTCAGAATCATAGAATCATGAATATGTATTTTAGTAGAATCAGAGATTAAAGCATAATTTGTGCTGTTCAGAAAACAAAGGACACAGCAGACAGCAATGAATTTAACTCTACCACTCATGACTTACCTTTTATTTTGTTTTAGGTTTAGCATTTCATTTCATGTTACAGTGATATTTTCAGTGTAAGTTGTCCTTTAAATTCTTTTTGGTTTATTTAAAAAAAAAAAAAAACAACATATATTTTGTATATTAGTCAATACTAAACTACTGATTTTAAACCTGGAAATACAAACTATTGTCAGTTTTACAGTGCTTGTTTCTCACAACTTTTTTTTCATTTCTTTAAAATTAATTATATGCTTTTTCCCATTGCTTTTCTGTTTCTGCCTTCAATTAAAAAGGGCCTAATTGAACATATTTACTTGCTTTTCATACCCCAGTGTTGCACTGTAATAAAAATGCATCTTATATCTGGATTTCTGTATATTCTAATGACTGGTTGGCAGGGTGCTTCATTACAATTCAAGTAGCGTTGTGTAGAAAATTCTACAGAAATGCAGTATGAGCACAGATATAAGTAACAGATGAAGGCTGGGGTTTTTTCTTTTTCTTTTTTTTTTAAATTCTTGAGAGCACGGGAGTCATTTAAAGATAAAATAAACAGCTTCAGTGTGTAAGGGAGAGTTATATAGATTTCTTAATTAATGCAGCCTGGAAAATAAACAAAAGCAAAACGCTTGTCATTTGGTACTAATGTGGTGGAATAGTGTGGCAGCAGGATCCCTGCTTTTCACTCAGCCTCTCATAAAGATTCGACTTCACTTCAGCTGTAAAAATGTGCAAATTACATTACTACTACATGACTGACTTTTGTAATTACATTAAGCGATTGAGATAAATCCCAGTGCTGGGTTCCCAAAAGAATGCTTGCAGCTGTGTGATTTTCGCATCTGATCCTATGGTTTGTTGTACCCAGCCATGCCTGCTATTTTTTTTTTTATTCCCTTTTTTCTTTTATTTTTCTCCCTCTCTCTGTAGAGGAGTTTGTTTGGTTAAGAGGTCATGTTGGGCACAAGATGGAAGAATAAAGCAAGATTGCTTTCTAGGGTGTACCACCCAGAAATTTGTTTTGTGGAAAAGGTTAGCAGGCCGTGATGATTTTCACAGAAAGGCAGGTGCAGTATTGTCAGTGTGGCACACTTGTGAGCTTCACATGGACATAATGCACATGTAGTACACAGAAACCATGCTGAGACATTGCTAGCTGGGTGCCTGCTCATTTGCTGGAGAAAAGAAATTGTTATGAGCTTTTAAAAATGAATATTTTCCTTTATAAAAGCCAAGCTAGACATTGGTGAAGACATAGGATTGCATACTGAATTTCTTTATAAAGCAGTTACTTGTTTGTGTGGCAATAGAATGAGAAGAAAGAATATCTATTCTCAAATTCTGTAGTTAATTTTGTTATTTGGAAGGTAAAGTGGAGGAGTAAGATTTTGGTAATAAGTTCAGCTGCCCAGCTTTTGCCAACAGATGAAAGCTGAAAACTTGATATTTGCCTTAGTTGATGGAAAAATTAAAAATACATAACTTTACAGTATGAATACTGGGTGTTAACATGCCTGGAAAAACAAATGGTATGAAAAATCTAAATGTAACTAGCAAAATAATGCAGAATATGTTGACTATCCAAATTTGAAGTGTACCTCAGCAAAAAAGACATTTCCGTTGTCTGTCTTAAATTTTTCACAATTACTTAACTTGCTATAATAAAAAATTTTTTAGACATTGCCATTTTTAGCCGTAGGTTTTTCCCTTTCCTGTCTGCGTGCTTGCTGACTTGTCAGGTGTAGCACCAGCCATCTGAGCATGGAGCATCAGCACTGATGGCTGAGTAGGTTACTCTTCCACTCTACGTGCATGAGTTTTTTAGTTCATAACAACCTGGCAGAATCATAGAAATAAAGTTGGTAGGACAGAAACCCCACAAGAGGAATCAATCCTTTAGAACATGAATCTAGTGACCATTTATGATTATTACAATGCTGTTTTTCTAAGGGTTGGATTCTCATTGTTGTACGGTGTTGGAAAAAAACCAAAAATTTTAAATGAAAAAGGAGTGCCAGACAATTTGGTAGCATTTTGTAAAACATGCATGAGGAGAACTTGGTAAAAGAAAGGAAATCTATTAACCTTGCTTTTGCTATGAAGACCTTCAACTGAAGTACTGCAGTTCTATTCAGTGAAAAAGGCTTGACCTTGGAATAAAAGTGCATATTCCTGGAACCCTCATTTTTAATTAAAAAAACAACAACAACGCAGCAACAGTTATATTGAAAAGATGAGCAAAAATGCTTACTCCCCCAGCTGAAAGAAAAATTGGATGTCATTTACATTTTTGCTTGCATACCATCTGCACCCCTAGTCACATTTCACTTTCAACAAGAGAGATATAAAAGTCCACATAGGCTGCAAATGTTTGTAATGCTGGAAGGCAGATATAGGCCCACCGATAAGTTTTCTGAACATTTTTTGCAAGTGATTGTGCCAGCACTATGTTGCTTTTGCATCTGGGTTGGTGACTTGTCATTTATGAGCTGAATTGTTCTCTGCATCAAGTCGGGGCTTGAGCTCTGTCACATACCTGTAAGGCCAGTGCTGTGCAATTGTGATGTTCCCTTCCCTCAGAGCCTACAAGGTGAGATGTAGATGAGCAGAGGGCGCTAGAAAAGCTGAAGAAAACAGTGGCATAATATTAATTGTCTGCTGTGCTGTAGGAGAGAAGCAGCTCCTGATGGCTGCTCAGGTCCAATGCCCACCTTGTCTGAGGAAGGCAAAGAGGCTGAGGGGACCTGTATCAACTCTAAAAGACGTAATAGTGAGTTGCATACAGAAATGAGGTGATTAATTCCATTACATGTGTACTTTTCATCCACCTTGCTCTTGGTAAGGCTTGCAGGAGTTCCTCTGTAGCAGTTATGCTGCCCGTGGCTGGGTGGATGGCAGTTCTTCCTTTCACAGAATGCAATTCAGCCAGGAGTTGTAGGTCCTCATGTACAGCAGTAGTTTTTTTTGATAGAGTCCTTATCTTAAAATTCTTTTATCTGTACTGGCTTAAAAAATCCCTTTTCATATCCTAGAGCACTTCTATGAAAACATTACAGAACTGCAAGATTAGGTCAGGAGGAATCTGAAACAGTTCAGTGCAAATTCACTTTAAAAAATTACGTATTGGTCTTCTGATTAATAACAGGCTTGTAGCCGTGGGTTAATATTGCAGAAGGACCCTCCAGCCCCAAGCTGTGGAAGTACTAGCTATCGCAGGCATCACCAGCATCTTCTATTAAGACTGGCCAACTCATCACATGTCAACTAAACATTCAGCTTTAGGCCTGTCTGTCATCTATCCTCAAACAAGGGACGCTGAACAGAGTTCAATTAAAAACCGCCGTCCTTCCTCTGGCTCTTCGTATGTCCCTAAAAATGTCTGTATGGAGTAAGCTAGATGGCAGATAGTGATTGTAATGGCAAAGCAGTGATTTTTTTCAAAGATACAGAAAGCTAGTGAAATACTGTGTGGAATTAGCTTGTGAAGTGTACTGAAAAATGAAGAGATTATAATTAAAGCCTTCTTAATGAAAGGAGGTACCTAGATTTCTGTAACAACGTACAGGCCTCTTCTTAATTTATTGCTCCTTCTCATCCCTGTGCTAATTATCCAGCTTTGTGACATCGTATGGCTGGTTCTCATGCACTGTGCTTTGCAATCGCATTTTCTCTTAGTCCTTATCACAAAACTGGATGCTGTTGCTTTGTTTTTCCCCCTTAAATAATTCATATGTGAGATTCAGCAAATGGAGCCTTGCTACTTGTGTGAAGTTTCCATTTAACCATGAAGTGAAATGCTTTTATCGAGTTTGCCCTGCAGATATGGTCCGCTGTGGCAGTGCTGTCCATATTTGGTGGCTGTGCAAGGAGAGCCAGGTGGTGCTGCAAAGCGTAGCACAGTGAAGCGTGGACAGATCTAGGTTTGACATTTGTCATCCTGTACTGCTAAAGGGAAGAGAAAAATCTGCTTTTCCATATGCTTATGCTTTAATTTTTGCCTGCAGTTTTGTCCAGATGGCCTTGTGAACATTGTTTACTTTAAGATGCTGTCCCAGATGTTTTTGAATGCCGATGGATAAATGCAACAACTGTGGTATACTAATACACAAATTATTTACACAATTTTGGCTTTTTTTTTTTTTTTTTTTTTTTTTTTACTTTTTAACCATCTCTTCTCCTCAGCATTTCTTTGTGCCCACACTTTTCCAAAAGGAAGAAGTCTCCAATAATATTATCAGATTTCTGAGAGCGAGGAGTGCCTTCAAGCTGCATATACTTGGGGCTCCCTTTCTTCTGCTAAGGTGCTTTTGGAGCTCTTTGTGGATGGAGGAGCATCAGACACTGTAGAATAACCCCCTTGCAATGTAAATTAAAAACTGTTACTGTACATAGCCCGTGAAACGGTGACTGTTTTTGGGTGTGAGCAGCTCTCAAGCCATTTGTTGTTTACTGCATTCAGAAACACGTTGCTTTTCCAAGGACAATTTAGTCTCTTTCTTTGCCCTTCTCTTGTGGAAAGAAGAATATTTTAAACCTTTGTAAGCAGTGTTACTCAGAACATTTAAAAATATCTTTAAACAGCGAAGCACCTCTCGCTGCAGTTTGACAAACTCAGATGCAATTCAGAGAAATAATTATGCCTTGACGGCGCTGCAGGGTGCAGGCAGACTGCATCAGAGGCTTGTTGCAGATAAAATATTTTAATGACTTGTTTTTTATTTAATTATATTTTTTCATCTTGTAAGCAAGAAACTATGCAGAACCTACATTAAAGAACCTTTTGGCATGAGCATTTCATTAACGTAAATAGGCTGGTTAGTTATTTCCCAAGAACACTTTAATGAGATTTCAATGTGAAACTCATTAGAACAAATACGTGAATTCATATGTCAAGGCATAGATTGCAGCATCACAGTTCTTGGCATCTATTAAGTCCATAACTCGTTTACATTGACATGCATTGTTAATCAATATTTAAGGCGCTGCAGATGTCAGTAATGTTCATATTTAGTCCTGCAACCATGACAATATGAAAGTTGCTAGTAGAATTCCAGGCTAAATATTGTTATCTCAAGTCTTTCCGTTACCTCTAGGCTACAAGTTAATGACTGTCTAACTTTGCTGCCCCAACCTATTTAAATAATAAGAGAAATAGGAAAACGCACGGATGTTATGCTGGTAGCATATTCCATTGCAGTTTTATAAAATTCTTGTGGTTTGAAATTAAAATAACATATCCATTTTGGTTTTACTAGCAACTCCTCAGGCTGTTACAAAGGGAGGTGGGTGGGGGTAGCATTTGAGAAAACTGATAACAACTCAAATGGAACTGCCTTGGCCAAGTCGTACCAGACAATTTAAGGAAAGCATAAAAATTGGTAAAGATGTGCAGTACTCAGGTGTAACTTTTGGTTACCTCTCCATAAAGGCACCAAAAAACAGCCCTTGTGTGTGGTATTTCCAGTGCATCTAAAGAACATACATTAAACTTCTTGTTGTTGATAGACTAACAGAACCTATTTTACTTCTTTATTTTTTACATAATGAAGAAGCTAAAGTCTTAGGAGATGTTCTAATTGTTGTGTAAGGCACTTGTTGGATATATGTAGTTGTGGGAATTTTTTTTCCCAGGTTTTAACTGTTGATGTCTCATGTTTTTTAAAGGCTTTATGAAGTGGCTTAGTGTGCCATTGGGGTGTCTTTCAGCTTATGTCAAAAACAATAAACATAATCCAAAGAAGGACTGAGTTGTTTTAACTATCCAGTAATCAAGTAATGCTAATCTATAGTTTAATTACAGGTTCATCAAAAATCATACGACTCCGTGATGAAAGCAGTGAAACAAGTGAAATTCTGAGAGGGAAAGGTTCTGGTAATGGTACATCAGTTCCAGTTAAAGGAATAAATAATTTAGGAAATACGTGCTTTTTTAATGCTGTCATGCAGGTAAGATGGAATGCTCATGCAGTTTTCTCTTTATAGACTTCAGAAATGTGAATTTTTATAAACCATGGGCTTTGTGAAAGGTTCTGAAGGTTACCACTTTCTGCTTTCAGGAGGCCCTTTTCAAATTCTTTCCACTCCTTTCTATCTAAGCAATATTTCCTTTCATTAAAAAAAAAAAAAAAAAAGAGTTCCTGGATCAGTAGCATTTTTCAAAGTATTGAGACAAATGAAAATGTCATGTGTGATATGCTGCATATGTGTGTGGGTTGTACTCCAGCATATGGTTTTATTTGTAGTTCAGCATCAGGCAGTCATGAGTAATGCACGGTATTTAACGTACTGGTGGGTGTGAAAAGTGGTACTTCATGCATATTTTTATTGATTATAGCTTTTTCTTTCCTGACCAGAATGAACTATCTGAGTAAACTTTTATTGATCTGAATGTATAACAAATCCAACATCCTAAAAATAGCAGCAGCTTTGCTAACTTTTATATTGAAACATCTTAATGCCCGCTGGTTGGACAGAGCTATTTATCTGCAATCAGGAATGAGCAAATGAAATTAAATTGCTTCAAAGGTGTTCTGAACTGGCACACTTCACTTAACATTTATGATTGTGGCTATAAAAAGTGAATTTTTAAGTGTATAATTACTGCAAATTGTTCTCTGAGCAGACGAATGGCACTGAGGAAACCTGTCATCTGCAGCAAACATTAACCAAAATAAAGGAAAAAAAAAAAAAGCTGTGGTGCTATGAGGAAGGATACAAATTTTAACAGAAACAAATGTTTTTTCTTATTAGTGTTCTCACCATCAAAGAAACAAAAGCAAAATAAACAAGCTAACAAAAATGTTGTTCAACGATAACAATGTTATTAGTAGGAAAATACTCGAAAATTGTAGCAACAGAATTAGATACAATTTTAGAAGCAGTCCGAGATTAGTGATAGCTCTGGTAAGGGTGGTATCTGCTTTTTCTACTGATTTAAACCTCAGTTGCACATTATTAAATATGTCTGGTTTTGTCTAACCCTGAATATAGAATTTATAAACAAAGAGAGCTGGATAGTAAAAAAAAAAGATGTGTTCTTGGATTTGTTTATTTTTTCTTTCAGAATTTGGCACAGACTCACATACTTAATGAACTGATGTACGAGATGAAGGAAAAAGGAACAAAGTTAAAAATCTGTCATACTTCAGACTCCCAGTTGGTAAGTATGCAGTGAAAAATATGGATTTGGGCAAATGTGGGAAGAAGCTGCTGCAAGGAAATCACATCTCTGTTAAAGATGAGCTCTTACTCTCTTGTTTCTTTTTGTCTTTGAATTGTAGACAAGATTGGGCATTGTCAGGGTGGTATGGCTATCTTTTAGTAGTTCAGCCAGTTTATGATGTCTGTGACAAAACCAATTGTTCTGCCCTGAAGGAAGGAGAACAGCCACTTCCTTTCATATTTTGTAACACTGAAGTAGCAAATAATTCTTGACCCTAAGAAAGAGTGGCTTATGTTTGTTTCCCATTTTGTTTCTTCAATATGTGTGTGTAATACAGGACAGAGTATTTCTGGCTCTATAAAGTGTTGATGAAATATTTATTCTGGTCTGCCTCAGCAATACATGGATGGGGCTTGTAAAATGTAATGCATGCTTCCCAGATGGAGTGTTAACAAAATACTAGTGTAGACTAAACGTCTTGTCCTCAGAGGCATATGGGAAAGAAACTATTGTCATTATGATCAACAGTTCCTTGTTGCTTCTTAGAGATGCTCATTTTCATAATATATTGTTGGCAGGTGAAGTAAGGATAGTGTTCCTTTCCCTCTGGTAGTTAAAGACAGTACTTTGCAGAGTTTTTGTTTTTGTTTTTTTTCTTTTTTTTCTTTCTTTCTGCTGGTTGCTGGGAGCTTTCTGGTGGTGGTAAGGATTGAGAGGTGGGAATCTTTCAGACACTGCTGAAATTACAAAGATTTCTGTATATTGTTCTCAGTGCTGCTCATAGCTTCTCCAGGCAAGAGCAGTGTGAAATTCATTGCACTGTTACCTTTCTTACCGCTAATGGCAGTTCTGAACAGCAACACGTTTCACCAAGTTATTCCCCAGCCACAACTGAAGTCTGGAGCTTGTTTGTGCCTGGAGGCTTAGAAAAGCAGTGGTATGTTGGCTTATGTGTGATGTGAACCTTACACAGCCATAAGGTTGAAAGATTTATTTTCTCTTTAATGACAGTGCTTACAAAATAAGTAAGCTCTTTGGAGCACAGAATGTATTTTGTGGTCTGTGTATGTCAGCAGAGGATCAGAGGACTTTAGTAGCCTAACTGATTGTAATGGGGAAACTGCTAGCTTTGTGCTTGGTAAAGGGTATTTCTCAAGTTTTGGTAGTGCATGTAATGTGATGCGATTACTTTATGTGTTTGTGCATCCGTAAAGCCTTATATTTTGTTCAGTTCTGTTTTTAAAAGAGGCACACACTCTAGTTGTTTGTCTGGAAATTGTAATCTGTTTTTGTGAGGATCAGGAGACCAGTAGACATTGGGACCAAGGATGAACCTAGGGGCATGTGAAGGAGTGCCAATAACCTGCAGCTTTCTGAACACAAGTAGCCCCAAAGCAACTCAGAAGCATGTTTTGCTTCTGGTCAGTTCCCTGCAGCCCTGGGACCTGCTGGGAGGTGTGAGTCTTAACCTGGAGAAGATGATGCCATGTCCTGCAGGTTGCCCCAAAAATGGCTGGTCTACACTGGTCTGATGTCAGCCTCTGCTTGTGAACTGCAGCCTGAGCCTTTCTGGGGCTCAGTTCCTGCGGGAGCAGGGTGGGCTTCTGTGGCTGCTGGATGTGTGACAATTTCGGTATGCAACTCTCAGCTCAGTACACATGGGAAGAAGAGTAAAACAGATAAACCAAGGGGTATATAAGGCAAATTCCACTTGGCATTTATATTTTGAAAAACAGATTGAGTAAATAAGATTTCATTATGTTTGTTACTAATTAGTTTCAGAGAAAAAATGGAAGAATGTTCCCTTATGGATAGCTTTGATGAACCATAGCCTGGCAAAAAGACCTCACTGTTTAATAACTCAGGACTTTTTCTGTAAACACTCCTATATTTCACTTAATTCTGGGAATAATGGACATGCTTGTTTAAAAAAATTACTGGTTAACAGCCAGTTTGTTCGCTGAGAATTTCTTGGTATTGTTATTATATGGTTTAGTTAATAAGTTTGCTCTTTCACTGTCTTTAGGTGACATCAAGCTTTTTTAAAGAGTCAAATTGCCCAAGACTAAAGGTTACTTTGCTCTTTGTGATAAATGTATTAACCTGAAATAAGACTTGTGTGTCACTCATTTTGAAGTTGATGCATATTTTACTTTTATTTGAAGGATCCTTTGGTGGTAAACCTCTCCAGCCCAGGACCCTTGACTTCAGCGATGTTCTTGTTCCTTCACAGCATGAAAGAGGCTGGAAGAGGTCCTCTTTCTCCCAAAGTACTGTTCAGCCAGCTTTGTCAGAAGTATGTACTGCCAGTATCTTGCCAATTACTGTTTTTTTCCCCTAAATTTATTAATTTACTGTGATGTATTTTTAAGTGTGTAACCATGTCTGTTGTGCTTTCTAGTATGCTCTTAGCTTTTTACTGAGTGGTCCAGAGAATATCATCTTTGTGTTTCAAAGTTGCCAGATTCCATGTTGCACTCCAAGTTGTAATTGCTTTTCATGAAGTGCATGTCTCAGCCATTAACTGCTGACAAGCAATGGGCTTTCACTGGGGTTTAAAGAAGTGGAAGAGGATTTGCTAAAACAAAAACGAATACCATTAACTTTCAGGTTTAGTTGAAGGCTGTATATTAGGTTAAAGTTGTGCTAGTACCGTTCAGATGCTTTGGGGAAATCCAACAAACTGACCTTTTAAATAGGAAACCTCTGCTATGATGTCTGTCCTTGGCATCATTTCAAAATTAAAAAGATTCTAACAAGTAAAGATGTAAAGCAGTACTGAAATGGCTTATGACACCAGATTGCAAAGAGCTTAGAAGTCCTAAAGAAGCCCCTGTTTCTTGGTGTGGAAAATGCTTACAGTGGTGCTTTGTAGTTATCTTCAGTTATGATGCAAAAAGTCTTGCTTTTTAAAACACCTGTGGAGGACCCATTTAAAAGCTTTTGCAGATATTTTAATATTTACAAGCAAAATAAGCTGTAAAAACAGCTTAAACATAGCTGTGCAAAGATGGGTTTAAAATATGCGATAAAGAAACACTAGCTTTTAGGCTGCAGTGGAGACCATTTAATTCAGAAACAGAAACCACCTAATACACTTAATTTATCCTCCTTAATATTATACTTTTTTTTTTTTTTTTTTCTGTTGTACTTATTTTTGGTTCTTTTGAGTTGTAAAAGGAAGTGTATGCAAAATGTCCTTACAGTGACTTTGAATCAAATAGTAGTGTTCTCTATTTAGCATCATCTGCTTGAAAGAAAAATATACAAGGAAGTTATGTTCTTTGCTCTCGTGTTTTGAGGATGACTCAAAAAAGTAATTGTAAGTACAAAACTTGGTAAAGAAGTAGAAGGGAAATTGTTAAATAGGAACAGTAGCTTTTTCTCTGTTAATACTAGAGTGGAAGAGAAAAGGACATGTTAAACATGTTTTGAAGCCCAAGTCAGAAGAGTGATTACAAAGTAATAACAGTGCACTGCTCTTCAGATGACATTGCACTTTTGAAATCACAGCTATTTTGTATTTGCCTTCTGTTTTTATATTTGTGTAGTCATCAGGTGATGAAACATTATTAAATCCTAGAATCTGTTTAGCCTTGCAAAACAGACCTAACTGAAATGAGTCCTTTCCTGACACATGTATCAGTAATGAAGGCCACATCCTGTTGGCACGAAGTTATGTGTACAGGGACTGTAAGTGCCTGCATGGTTAGGATAGAAGGTTTGATCTCGTGATTCTTTTGTTGTTGATGGTGGGCAAGAGAGAAGAAAGGGAGAATTTCAGCAGATTCAGCAATCTGCATTGTTAGTAGCAGAAGAAATGGGAGTCTTTGCAAAATGAATACATTTACTGTCTATAACTAAAACAAGATGCATGCAGTGTTCTGTCATGCCATTTTTATGAAATCTTTTTTCATTTTTTAAAGTTTGGCTTTCCACTCCTTAGCAAAGCTGAAGTGAAAGAGATAGGATAGCAAAACTTTGGGAGTCCCAGCTAGGAAGTCTGCATTGCTGCAGCATTCTCCTCAAGGTGCTTTCTGCACTAAGACATTGCGTTAACGAAGCAATTTTAGAGACCTGCATTAGCACAAACTCTTTTTACTTAACAAGCAATTCTGCAAGCAGCAGCGTTGTCCTCCTGTGTGGATTCTCTGCTGTTTGGAAAGGTTCAACTTGCTAGAGGGACACATTATTTATAGTTTCCCTTATATTACTAACTAGACTCTTACTTTCATAAACTTCAAAGAAATATAATTGTCATCAGTTTTGCTTTAATTTGTCTATTAGCCTCAAAAGTTATGAAGATCGGGTGAGGGAAGCATACATGTGCATGTTCTCACATGGATCCCCAGTGGTGCATGTTAGAAAACTGTGTGGGTGAATGGATTGTCCTTCACTTCCTGCTCCTGAAGAATCCTTGCCAATTCTCACTAGAAATATTACTTGTGTTATTTAAATGTAACCCATTTGTCGTACAAAACTAAGGACTCAGGGAATACAGCCTGGTGTAGTGGTTGGCAGCCCTGCACGTAGCAGGGGGGTTGCAACTAGATGATCATTGTGGTCCTTTTCAAACCAAGACCATTCTATGATTCTGTGATTCCTTTTGGTCTAGAATTTAGGTTGGATTCTGAATTCTGTCTCCCCTCTGACCACTTACAGGTCTTATATGGTGACTACTAGGTGAAATAATTTGAAGACTTCAATAACAAGAGATTTTTACCTCAATTTTACTTCTCTCTAAAAAATACCATCATTTGTACTTCTGCAGATCTAGATAAAAAGTTTATGTGTTTCATTTCAACTGAGATTTTTAAAAATTTTGGCTATTGTATTTCTATCAACTTTCCATTTTTAGTTGGAATGACCTGTATCTGTACATCCTCAAAATAGGAGCAGGGGTTATGTTTTGCATCTTAGAGCTAAAAGCTTCCAGGAGGGTAAAAGCTCAAACAGCATCTCTGCTAAAGAGACAAGAGGATGAATGTGAAAAGAGAATAACTGCACTGAAAAAATATGTTGATATTTCAGAGAGAGTTGTCAGAGAAAGACACATAGGCTAATGCCAGGGGAAAAGAGCACAAGTGAAGGACATTTAATGCTGTTGTTTTAGCTTTTTATATTGCACATGGAAGATTTCTGAGTCCAATTGCAGCTTGATTTCAGTTTTTTAACTTCTTTCCCCATCAAATATCTCACTGTCACAGTTTCACTATGCAGAATATGACCTTTCTTCAGTAAAGAGATTATGAAATACTTTAGAGAGAGTCTAAGATGCACTTGTCTGTGATAGTAGGAGTTGGAGTCAGTGACTGAGGAATTACCTTTCCAGCCCTGAATTTGTCTTTACCATGACATTAGTCTGAGAAGTTGCTTATAGTGTACTAAACAGGGAGACACACTGAGTGATTGTGCAGAGTTTAGACTTTTGAGTACGACAGTGATTTCCCAGTAACATTTTTATCATGTGTGGCAGGAGATTGGTCCTTCAAAAATGATTGCTTTTCCATAGTAGCACAATTTGGATATTTGTATTTATATATAAATTATATAAAAACACACTAATTTATTTAGCTAACTAGATACCTCAGGTAAAGCACTACTGTGCCTGGATGCTTGGAGAAGAAAAGTGTATTTCAAGCTTTTTTAAACACATCTATATTTACACTGTTCTGTTCTGATGGGTTTGGGATTTCTTTTTTGCACCCCTAGCAGAGTAACGACATATTTTCATGTTGGATCAATTGATGTGAGATAGAATCATAGAATCCTTGGATTTGAAAGGGATCTTTGAAGGCCATCTCGTCCAGCTCCCCTGCAATGAACAAGAACACCGCAGCTAGACCAGGTTGCTCAGGGCCTGAGCCAACCTCTCACTGAAAATCTCAAGGGGTGAATCATCAACCACATCTCTGGGACCTGTGCCAGTGCCTCACTGCCCTCACTGTAAAATACTTTTGCCTTATATCTAACCTAAATCTACTCTCTTTAAGCTTGAAAACATTTCCCCTTGTTCTATCACAACTTAGTAAATAATTGGTCCCCTTCTTTTCTGTAGCTCCCTTTTAGATATAGAAGAGAGATAGAAGAGATATAGAAGCTGTATAGTTTAACACATGACACTTGCCCTCATTTGCAATTCAATTCCTGAAGAACTTCTGAATTTGATATCCAGAGTCACTTTTTTTATTTTTTATTTTTTTTGGGGGGGGGAGGGGAGCACTTGTCCTTGTAGGATTTCAAGAGTTTGTCTGCTTCAGCTGTTCCAGGATGAGTTTGAGTGCTAGCACTTGAGTTAGACATCCTTACTCAAATCATTTGAGATGTGCTCAGTGGGAAAAGAGCAAAGAAAGAAGCAGGGAAGGAAGTAAGAACATAAAGGAAGAGGTGAAGTCACTTAGAAATGAGGCTAGGTGTGGACAGGAAGCTTGTAAAGAAAGGGAGCAGATGCTGCCTTGTTCAGTTGGCAGCCCTGTAATGACACTGAGTGGAATCCTAGAGCCTGTAAGTGGGAACACTCTGCAAGTGTACGTGTATTTTCTGCTCAAAAGAAGAGATCTGGGGACATAGTCCTTTCAGCTGCAAGCTGCATCTTTAAGAGTCCAGGGAGATCGCAGAGTGAAGTTCATCATCTTGTGTATGAAAGGGTATTTATGGTGCATTTTTTTTTAAATAACAAAGGGAAAAAATGATACTGAGTGTTAATTTTGTCAAGTGGTGGGGTAGCCAGGTTGAAGAAGAGAGGAAGAAGAAGAGAAATGGATGAGTCTTTCTATAGCAACTGTTTAGCGTCTGGTACTAATTCTTCCACTGTTAATTCTGTTAGTGTTGCAGCTGTCAGATGTTTTGCTAGGACAGATTGCGAACATAGCTACAGGGCCCTTCTGTTTGTTTTCCACTATTCTGAATATTAGGATTGCAGACTTCTGACTTATCTGGAGACTTAGTGACTAATGCAACATTTATGTATTAAGAGGACATACATTTTATTTCCCTTATTTGTTATCAAGAGGTACTTCTGCTGGTGGATGAAAGTGTAGATTTGTGTAGCGAGTAAATCTTGCAGTATATAAATTAATAGTCCAAATAGGAGTTATATAATGTTAGAAAAGCTGCTTCGAATTAAATAGTTATTTATGGTACTATGGTACTATATTGCTGCATTAACCCTGGGAAAATATTTTCTTAACAGAGTTTTTATTGGTGATGACTAAATCCACGCACAAAGTTTAGCTTTTAGTTACTTGTTTTTCCTGATGAGTATTAATCTTTCCTTCTCATGCACAGAAGGTAGAA